CCGAGCATCCGGGAGGACGCCCACAAGAGGCCGGCCGCTGCAGTTCTTATTGTGTTGTGTGTTGGGTTTTTTTTTTTTTTTGCACACAGGAGTCTACGCTTGTGTGTGCCAAGGCTAGCGTGAGTGCCGGTGGCGTCAGCCTAAGCTCACCAGCAACCTCAACTCCTGGGCTCACAAGCAATCTGCTCAAAGCCTCCCGACATAGGGGACTATAGGCATACGCCACGATGCGCCGGCTAATTTTCTAATAATCCAGTTCGGCCAATTAATTGCTTTTGCTATTTATAGTAGAGACGGTCTCACTCTTTGCTCAGGCTGGTTCTCAACTCCTGACCTCCAAGCAAATCCGCCCGCCTCCAGCTCCAGGAGGCTAGATACCACGGCGTTCAGCCTAGCTCACAGCAACCTCAAACTCCTGGGCTCAAGCAATCCTGCTGCCTCAGCCTCCCAAGTAGCTGGGACTACAGGCGTGCGCCACCATGCCCGGCTAATTTTTTCTGTATATGTTGGCCAATTTATTTTCTATTTATAGTAGAGACGGGGTTTTGCTCTTGCTCAGGCTGGTTTCGAACTCTTGGCCTTGAGCAATCTGCCCGCCTTGGCCTCCCAGAGTGCTAGGATTACAGGCGTGAGCCACCGCGCCCGGCCCCACAGTTGTTTCTGATGCTCATCCCTGGTTAGGAACCATGGAGCATCATCTTTACATAGTAGGTGGGCTGTTCAGGATCATCTTACTTTTTTCCTTGGTTCTTAGCTTCCATATAGTTAAGGCAGAGCGAGTAAGTGGCCTGGGGACGTCACGCCAGTGCTCTGTCTCTTGCTCTCTCAGGGGACATCCGCATCGCCATGCAGCCTCCTGCCCATTCACTTGTTCCTCCCATGGGCATTAGCCGACGCCTCCGTGCAGTACGGATGGGCCACATTCCGTTCGTGCCTAGGAGACTCCCACGGGACTCCCCTGCCGCAGGCGCAGCTGCTGTGTGAGCCCCCGGGCACCAGCCCACGGGGTCTTTTCATGATCCTGAAGACCTACAATGCAGGGTCTCTTTTATCCTCCTTTCCTGATCCCTTTAAATGTGCACGTGCTGGTACTCGAGGTCTCGGATGCCTCGTGAGGTCCTGGTTTCTCCTGCTGGAAAGGCGGAGCAGTCAGTGTGAATCTTCTTTAAAAAACACTCAAAACGGAAACTCAGTGATGCCTGCTGGTGACGAAGCCAGTCTTCCCAGAACTTGTCACACGGGTGTGGGTGGGGACGGAACTGGGTGTTCTCTTTCCCTCCCAGAGATGTGCCCTTTATTTATCCTCTGTTGCCCAGGCTAGAGTGAGTGCCGTGGTGTCAGCCTAGCTCACAGCAGCCTCAAACTCCTGGTCTCAAGCAATCCTCCTGCCTCAGCCTCCCGAGTAGCTGGGACTACAGGCATGCGCCACCATGCCCGGCTAATTTTTTCTATATATATTAGTTGGCCAATGAATTTTTTTCTATTTATAGTAGAGACGGGTCTCGCTCTCACTCAGGCTGGTTTCGTACTCCTGACCTCGAGCAATCCGCCCGCCTCGGCCTCCCAGAGTGCTAGGATTACAGGCGTGAGCCGCCGCGCCCGGCCCCTTATTTTTGAAGCCCACTTCTGTCTCGAAGTGTGGGTTATAATTCCGTGTCTCACACCCCTCCCCTTCCTGCCACCCCCAAATCCTTTTCCTTTCTTTAATGAGTTCTCTCCTTCCTCGTGTTCACAATGAGAATGAATACCCTCAAGCTAGGGGTGAAATTTAGTTTATGAATTGGATATCTCACTTAAGCAGGGTCCGGAGTGGGCCAGTCATTGGCTTGGGGACGTTAAGATCATTGTGTTTCACTTTCTGCACGTTTTCCTGACTTGTCGCTTACTCTCCAGCCGGGCGCAGGAGCTCGTGCTCGGGGAGCTCTGCGCTGTGCTTGCCCAGGCGTCCTCAGCAGAACTCGCTCTTTCTGCTAGATCCCAGGCGAGGCCCTGCGAGGCTCTCCTAAGGAAAAAAAATATGTGCACAGTTGTCTTCACGCCCCAGTGAGTAGCGCAAAACAACACGCATTAGCCCATCGGTGTTTTTACTGTTAGAATAGCTGCCTGCACGGCACATTTTGTCCTTGGAAGAGTAGATTTCAGGTTCCTGATTACTTTTACAGGATAGAAAATTACCTGGGTTGAGAATACGGAAGAGGTAGCTAAAAGGCTACCCCGGGGAGGTGAGCCAGCGTGTACAACTTTAAGCGAAGAGGAAAAAGCCAGATTTATATTAAAGGGAAATTCGGATGTTTATTCACTTTGGGAAAAAGACACTTCACGTTGTAAAATTGAAAAGCCATCAGCAATCAGGAATTAATATTTGCATCAAAGGGTTAACATCTTTCCTGTAGAAAGTGCATTCCAGTCATTTTCCCACACCTTGTGGGGTTATCTTGCCATGTGGCGAGTCACCCAAGAGCCATGGCTTAAAACAAATGTTTATTATCTCGGTTTCTGTGGTTATACACCCAGCAAGGGCTTGCTGGGTGGATACTCATCAGGTTGCCGTGACGACGTGGCCTGTGGCTGCCGTCATCTGAAGGCCACACCGAGGCTGAAGGATCCACACCCAAGACAGTGGCTGTTGGTGGCAGGCCTCTGTCCTCCAGCGGCCGGTCCTGTGACCTCACAGCATAGCAGCTGGTGTCCCACAGAGTGACCCACATGGGAACTGCAGTGTCTTTTATGACTAGGGCTCAGACGTCACTTGCCATGTCCACAATAACCCCTTGGCCACCCGGGTCAGGCGTGCAGGGCGGGGCGTCTCACCAGGCTGCCAGGTGAAAATCAGCATCTTGCTGTTTTACTGTACCTTTCTTTGATAACTAGTGAGGTTGATCATTTTCTTTTCTTTTTTATTTTGAGACATAGAGTCTCACTCTGTTACCCAGGCTAGAGTGTAGCCGTGTCATCGTAGCTCACTGCAGCCTCAAACTCTTAGGCTCAAGTGAGCCTCCTGCCTCAGCCTCCTGAGTAGCTGGGACTACAGGTGCACACCATGACGCTTGGCTAATTTTTTTTTTTTTTCTGTTTTTTGTAGAGACGGGGTCTCCTTCTTGCCCAGGCTGGTCTTGAGCTCCTGACCTCAAGCGATCCTCCCGCCTGGGCCTCCCAGAGTGCTAGGATTGCAGGTGTGAGCCGCTGCGCCTGGCCTTTATTTTCTTTCTTTATACTTTTTTTCTGGAAAGTCAAACTTTTCCACAGCGAGCTTGCATTACCTTTATGATTTTTTAGAAAAATTAACGAAACCAAACCAAGGGTGGAATACTCCTCAGCGATAAAAAGGAAAGAATTATTGATGCATACTTTAGTGAATTTTAGCAGCGTTGCACCAAATGGAAAAAGCCAATCTCGAACAGCCGCCCACTGTATGATTCCATGTGAATAACATTGTTGAAATGACAGGATTGTAGAGCTAGAGGACAGGTTAGTGATTGTCTGGGGGGAGCGATGGGGGGTCAACTATAATTGGGCAGCAGGAGGGAAGCGTTTGAGTTGGTGAAAATGTTCTTAGTCTTGACTGGAAGAAATGTCCTGGGATGACACAGGAGCGTGCACACTTGTGCACACCCAGGTGGCATCCGTGGCGTTTCCTGGCTTCGCTGGTGTATCTGTGTGGGAGCCGGGTGGAGGGAACACGGGACCTCCGTGCTATCTTTGCAACTTCCTGTGAATCTGTAATTATTTCAAAATAAAAAATAAATATCCACAACCTAAATCAAAGGATTCTTCACTTAATAAAAGCATTCCCAATAGAAAATCTATTTTTTTTTTTTTTTTTTTTTGAGACAAGGTCTCACACTGTTCTCACTGCAGCCTGGAACTCTTGGGCGCAAAGGGCCCTCCTGCCTCCTCCTGCCAAAGTGCTGGGATCATAGGCATGAGCCACCGCGCCCAGCCTCAATAGGAAATCTTTAAATGGCTGATGTTGTTAGTGCATTTCCAAAGCTGATTTTCACGCAGCCTTTGTTTTCCATAAAGTTGAGTTGAGCTGCATCTTGTCTTGCGGCCCCGCATCTGTGTGGTGTTTTCCCCGGGCACAGGTTAATAACCTGCCTTGAAACAGCTGGGAGTTTCATTCGGTTATTTGGAATGAAAATCACCGTCTTTTTAGGGTGATCTGTGTACGACTGGTCGTTTTTTCTTTTCCCAGGGGAAGGCAAGGAGGAGATTGTGAAGGTGACTTTTGAAGAGTTGAGGCAGCAGGTGGCCTTATTTGCTGCAGCAATGAGGAAGATGGGTGTGAAAAAAGGGGATCGGGTGGTCGGTGAGTATTTTTGGTCCTTGAGATGGTTGGGCGAGGGGAGACCAAGGCAGAATGAATGGCTCGGAAGGTGGAGACAACTTTTGAATGAGGCGGCGTCGTGTTATATTACGTAAAACCTCGTAGGACTTCAACTGTTCCAAAGAAAATTGTTGGAAGAGTACCCTGTTGTGTAAAGGCAGGAATTTTCTTTGTTTTAGTCCCTGACCCTGCTTTGTTCTAGAGCCTGAAACAATTCCAAGAACATCAAGGGTGTGCAGTCAAGCCTAGTTGGCTGGATTAATGAAGGCGTGCTTGGGAGTTAGTCCTGCAGTGAGGTGGGAGAGGGGAGGGCAGTCCAGGCAGCAGAGACAGTCGTGCAAAGGCCTGGGGGCTGGTGAGAGGGAGGTGTCTGCAGCAGTGACAGGAGCCTCGTGGGCAGGAGGTGGGGCCGGTGCCCTGGACTGATCCCAAGGGCCTTGTCCACTGTCACCTGCTCTGCCTAGAGCTTCCCGAGGCTTTGTCTGTTCTGACTACCGGTCCCCCCAACCCCAAAGTAAGGGAAGGAAGGTGCATAGGACCCAAAGAAGGTAGGGAGTGGGGAGCAGGACCCGCCAGACACTTGGGCTGAGGTCCTGTTTGGGGACTGTTGTTTCAGAAGGAGCCAGGGCTGGAGTCGACGGATGGTGACTGTGAGGCCTGGGGTCCCAGTCACTCTCCCTCCCTGAGCTGGCCCTCTTTTTTTGTTCCCTCCGGTAGCGAGTAATGATTTCCTCCTGAAAACACCTTAGGGGTTTGTCTTACAGTTTTCCTCTCACTTTGACTTCTGGAAAAAATCTTAAGTCTTGGAAATGCACCTGTTCTTTGTCCCGAGGAACTCAGATGGGTGCACTGCAGGGAAGGGCAGGTGCAGACGGGGCAGGTGACTTCCCTAAGCAGCCCTGGTGCTCAGGGCACTTGACACCCTTCCCCGCCCCCAGAATAGGGCAAGGGCCACAGGACAGGGGTGTCAAGAGAAGCTGCCGGCCAGGGGCTCGGGCGTTGGAACCCCGGTGTTTGGCAAGGGTGTGCCTCTCCCAGGGGAACTTACTGCACATTGTAGCTTGTTTGCCGAGACGGAGGAGTGGCTGAGTGGCCTTATCATATGCGAGACAGTGGATGGCTGCACCTAGAATCCTATGCACAGCGTCTGCTCGGATAACAGAGCTGGCCGTGACGTTAGTGCTCAACGTATTCATACTTTGGTTTACTAGAAAGGTGTCAAATAGAAAGGGACATGCCAGGTGACCTCCCCTGTCTGAGCCCTCGTTGGAATGTTCTGCATGTCCTCAGGGTTCACCTGCTTTGTCAAGGTCCCTGCGCAGACATTGCCACCTCAGAGCCCAGCCCTGGTGAGCTTCAGAAACGTCACCTCTCCCCGCACCTGCTTCACTTTGCTTTACCCTCCTTATGGCCCACCTGGAGCCACGGGGCTCTGTGTGCGTTCGTGTCACGTGTGTCCTCTACTGCTGGTGGCCCAGCCTCTGTCTTCTGCTGTCTCTGTGTGTAAAGAGTGCCTGACACGTAGTTGGCACCTCATAGATATTTATCGAGTGAATGAGTATGAGGACTGGGCTGGTGATTGGAACAGGCATTTATTTTTTAATTTTTAATTTTTTTTTAGACAGAGTCTCACTCGAGGTCTCGGATGCCTCGTGAGGTCCTGGTTTCTCCTGCTGGAAAGGGGGAGCAGTCAGTGTGAATCTTCTTTAAAAAACACTCAAAATGGAAACTCAGTGATGCCTGCTGGTGACGAAGCCAGTCTTCCCAGAACTTGTCACACGGGTGTGGGTGGGGACGGAACTGGGTGTTCTCTTTCCCTCCCAGAGATGTGCCCTTTATTTATCCTCGATCCACCCACCTCGGCCTCCTAGAGTGCTAGGATTACAGGCATGAGCCACCGCGCCCGGCTGGAACAGGCATTTTTGAGGTTGAAATCTCACTTTTCTTGGGTCCTTCTTGGTCCAATTTAATCCATACTCTTTTAAGGGCTAGCAAAGAAATGCAAAAGGGTCTACTTTCTAGTTTCCATTTTTTACAATCTCTTTTTGGAGCAAATGTTTTTGAGGGAAGGAGAAACAGAACGGGGCATGCTGGGAGACTGTCAGGATGCCTTTGGGCTCTGCTTGGCTAGAGCGCTTTTTGAGGATCCCAGCTCGGATAGCAGTCTGCCTTGTCTGTAACCACAAGGGCAGGGGACTGCGTTTGCCAGGACAGGACACTAGGGAATGTGCTTGGGGAGAAGGGCTCATCAGTCAGCACGGAGTCAGCTGGGTTTCGCAGCCTGCTGGGCAGTGAGTTCCGCCCTGCCCTTGGGGGCGACACTGCTGGGACACTGTGCTGTACACTCGCAGCCACATTTAGTCTCCTTGCAGACTCAGCACAAGTCGTGGGCCTGCGTCTGCCAGATGCAGGCAGAGCCCTGGGGCCGAGTGGAGGGCGGGATTCTCCACTCCTGTGCCTGGGGCGCTTGTGGCCTAGCAGGGGAGATGCATTTGAATCCAAAGAAACGGAAGTACAAGCTGCAGGGGAGAGGGGGGAGGGCTGTCCAGGGAGCCCTGGCGATCACCTGGGAGCTGCCCCTGGCTCAGGTGAGGCCTTTGGCCATGGCCCTTCTACCCCTTAATGCCTTGTGCCCAGGTCTTTTCCTTTGGGATATTTACAGTGATCTGCTTAATTGAGTGTCATCTCTTGGCCATAAGGGTTTGTTCTCTGCTTCTGTTGTCACTAAAGGCAGTGGATGGAGGGCCTGGGCACCTCCTCTGCCCCTCCGAGCTGGTCTGTGGCTCTCGACTGCACTGCTGTGTCCTTTGTTCCCTCTTCCTCCTCCCCGTCAGTCCATCCACCCAGCTGTCTGTCCATCTGTCCATCCATCCATCCATCATCTGTCTACCAGCCAGCAAATATCTGAGGGACTTATAGGACACAAATGAATTAAAAGGACAAGACAGGCAAAGTCCCAACCCCCTATGTGAGAACCAGATATTAAACCCCCTATGTGAGAACCAGATATTAAACCCCTGGTGATTATTCATTTGCAGTCATGGCGAGTTTGGTGAGGGAGAAATATAGTATTAGTATGTGTTATAGGTAGGAGCGAGAGGGCCGTGGAAGTTTGGTTTGAGTTAGGAGCTGAGGGATGAGCGTGCGTGGAGTGGAGAAGGCTGGTGCATGTGGAAGAGGGTTGGGGGAGGGCCGACAACGTGTGCAAAGGCCCTGCAGCAGGAGTAGCTTAAAGCAACTGCAGAACCGAGAGGAGGCTGTTGTGACCAGGTCCCATAGCAGGAGGGGAGCAGAGGCCGGGGGTGGGGGATGGGGCTGGATTAGAACACACAGAATGGACCATGGTGGGGGCAGTGGGGAGTGGACAGGCTCGCAGCAGGCAATTCCGGTGGTGGGGCGGGTAGCTGTGATGCCCAGGCAGGTCAAGCCAGCCCCCCTGCCCCGCTCTGACCCTGGCCCTGGCTCTCAGAGGAACCTTTGGAAGTCTGCTGCCCCCAGCACACCCCGAGCCCGAGCCTTTCTCCCTGTGTCTTCCCGCAGGCTACTTGCCCAACAGCGAGCACGCTGTGGAAGCCATGCTGGCCGCGGCGAGCATTGGCGCCATCTGGAGCTCCACATCCCCGGACTTTGGTGTAAATGTGAGTGTGGGTCCCCAGCGGAGGGGGGGGCCGGGCCCCAAGAGCGTCCCAGGCAGGGGCACCTGCGGGTGGGATTCCTGGGGAGCCTCGCAGCAGTGGCAGTGTCACGACAGCCTCCCGCCGCCCTGGCCGGTGACAGGAGTCACAGGAGAGAAAGATCTGGACGGAGGGAGCTACATCTTGTTTTCAAATTTAAAGGCAAACTGGCTCTTCTTCCTTCAGGTGGCCCTAACGTCCCCATTGTGATTATGTGGCCTTGGCGGGTGGTGTAGGCAGGGGTCAGTGTTGTTAGGCCTCTTCTTCCTCGCTTAGTGACTTAGTGACCACGTGGGGTTTCCTAAATGTTCTTCCTCTGAGGACGGTTTTCCAGGTTCTCTCTGGCGCTGTTGCTCACAGAAGTTCCCCAGGGACCTTGTACCGATGTCTGCTGTTTCCTTCCCTCCTTGGGGGCGTGCTCTGTGCTGGGTGGCTGTGTGCTCTGGGAGGGTGGGCACGGCCTCCCACGGGACAGCAGAGCTCCTGGCACTGGCCTCTGGTGGCATCTGAAGCCTGGGGAGTGTGGAGGGGACACCTCCCCTCTGCGGCAGCTGCTGGCCTCTAGCCTGTTCTCACGGCTGCGCCCAGGCTGGCAGATGCCACTCCCGGCCGGCTGCAGCCCAGCGGGTTCTGCCTGTCTTGGGAGGACCCAGTGCTGGCGTGTGGCCCTGCGGCAGGCACCGTCCTCCGGACATTGCTGTTCTGGCTTTGGGCCAGGCCAGGGCGTCTTGGGAGCTGCTCCGGAGCATGAGGTGCTGGCTGCCAACGCGTGCACTAGATGGCAGCATGGCTCTGCCGCCGCCTCCGGCTTCAGACGCTTTCGGGAAGAGAATCCTCCCAGGTGCCGGGGGCTGTGTCTCAGGGCCAGAAAACAAGGCCAAACGCCTTCCTGCTAAGACGATTAGGTCTTATTAGGTGACCCAGGTGTGGTGTCCTCTCTCCATCCTGCTGCTTGATGGCTTCATGGCGGGTGACATCCGTAGTCCTGCTGCTCCCCCGCGTGGGAGGCTGTGTGGCTGACACGTGGCACAGCGTCTGCTCGTGCGGTCACCTGGTGTCTGTGAGCTGAGTAAGGACGTGGGACAGATGTCCTATGACGGGGCCAGGTGCTGTGGCTCTGAAGTTAGTGCTGGAGCCCGTGCCGCCTGCCCATAGGGTTATTAAGCAGGTGTTTTACAGGTCCAGTGGTGGGGCCTCCTGACAGGTGGATGCACCTGCCCACGGACAGCGTAGTTACCTCTCCTCGCCTGGCCCGGCGGGGTGCCCAAGGACCCTCTCTGTTGGGGTGCCACAGACTGGTGGGCTGTGCAGGGAGGCCCAGCCTGTCTCTCCTTGGTGATCCTGGGAGACGTGTTTCTGCTCCGTCACCACCCTGTGCTTTACTCCTGCCCTGGCCCTCCTCCCTCCTCCCCTCACCCCTGCTAGTTGCCCAGGAGTCTCAGCTTGTCTTATCAAGGCATCTGGGCTCGGAGGGCAGCGCCAGGCGAGCAGGAAGTGCTCTGTCCTTGGGGTTCCCAACTTTCCAGCCTCACCATGGGTCTCCAGGCAGGGTATTTCAAGCTTGTTGGCTTTTTCTTTGTTTCCTTTGAGACTTTGGCATCTTCAAAGATGTTAGGGGCGGCCACCCTCCGACATCCACACACCTGAGGGCCCAGCCTGCAGCCCTCGACCTCCTAAAGTATTTCGGGGTGTGTGTGTGTGTGTGTGTGTGTCTGTGTCTGTGTGTGTCTGTGTGTAAATAGGACAGCTGCTCCTCTCCCGCTAGGTGATTGTCCGCATGATTCAATACCGGCTGTGGGTGTCAACGCTTGATTGGTTGCTAAGCAGCGTATTCAGGTCAGAGCCACGATCATAGGTGTGTGTGTGTTTCGCTGCGATTTGAAAGCGGTTCTGGAGCAGCTCTGGGCCAGGCCAGGTTGACCGGCAGCTGCAGATGCCCGGAGGTCTTGCTTCCGTACCGGGAAAACTTCAGCCTTGTCCTGGGACCTCTGAGCCTTTTCATGGCATTCCAGTCCAGACCTCTGCTTCTGAAACACTTGTCTCTGCAGTCTGGTCACTGTCACTGTGACTGGGGTCACCTCTGCCGTTGGAGCCCCGGACCCCTGGCAGGCTGGGTCCTTTCACCCCGAGTGTGTTGCCACCGCGTGTGCTGGGATAGTGCTCCGAGATGCTTTGCTCGGTCTGTCCGGCTGTCTCAGCACCTGTTTCCACTCTGCTGTCATGCTGGTGTCCTCTCCCACGCACAGCACTGGTCTCCCTGGAGCCAGCGCCCGAGCCAGACTGGCCCGGCTGCAGTCCCGGTCGTGCCACTGGCCAGTTTCCAGGCTTTGGGCAAATTGCCTACCCGGTTCCCGTCTCATCCGGGATACGGAGCTAATAATATTACGCCTCTCTCAGGCCCGTGTGAAGGTCAGACTGGCGAGTGCCTCTAATGAGCTGACAGTGGCGCCTGGCACATAGTAAGCACTCGGCGAATGTCAGGTATTGGTTTTTTTTGAGACAGAGTCTCACTGTTTTGCCGGGCTAGAGTGCCGTGGCGTCAGCCTAGCTCACAGTAACCTTAGACTCCTGGGCTCAAGCGATCCTCCTGCCTCAGCCTCCCAAGTAGCTGGGACTACAGGCTCGAGCCACCATGCCTGGCTAATTTTTTTCTATTTTTAGTTGTTTGGCTAATTTCTTTCTAGAAAAAAGCCTGTGCCCAGCAGAGGCCTTGCTGAGGACGAGGAGGCAGGTGTGGTGGAGGACCTGGTGTCCTGAGGTCAGAGGCCAAGTCCCCATCAGCTGCATGTCCGGTGCTGTTTTTTTTCTTTTAAACCAGTGATGAAGTTGGCCAGTGTTTTACTTAGTCTTACCACAAAAGAAAGAAAGAAAGAAAGAGGGGCTTCGGGGGTCTTCCTGTGACAATGTCGCAGCCGCCCCTTGCATGCCTGTGCTTTCCTGGGGGCAGGGGAGTGCTAGAGAGCGGGGATCCAGCTCCTCTGCGCCTCCTTCCTGGTCTTTGGCAGTCGATGGGTGTGCTCAGCTGGAGAAAGGACCCCCTTCTGTTGTTGTAGCTCTGGCGAGAGCCCTTCCGCCCCTTTCTCCTCCCTTCCGGCACTGGACGGGGCGCTGGACGTTCTGCAAACTCAGAGCCCCAGATGAGCCCAGAGGTGCCCCCGCCTGTCTCAGTGGGTGCCCCCCACGGTGGAGCCCTCGCAGCACCCCTATTCCCTTCACTCCCTGCCCCACCTTGGTGCTCTCCTCTTCCCATCATCCTGCTCCAGCGCGTTTGGTTCCTTGGTGACCCCTGGTCTAGGTGCTGTCATCGCCCACTTGCAATGTCACACAGTGCGTCCTCACAGTGGTCTCCCGTCTGCCTCTCAGTACATGCCTTTTTTTTTTTTTTTTTTTTTTTTTTGAGACAGAGTCTCACTCTGTTGCCGGGGCTAGAGTGCCTTGGTGTCAGCCTAGCTCACAGCAACCTCCAACTCTTGGGCTCAAGCGATCTTCCTGCCTCAGCCTCCCGAGTAGCTGGGACTACAGGCACACACCACCATGCTCGACTTTTATTTTTTTTTTCCTTTTTGAATTTCCCATAAAGAGGAGGTCTCGCTGTGTTGCCCAGGCTTGCCTGGAGCTCCCTGCCTCGGCCTCCTGGAGTGTGCCTGGCCAGTGTTATCTTTTTTTCTTGATTATATTGGTCAAGAAGCTTATTTGATTGTGCCAAAAAGATTTTGATTTTGCTGATCAAATCCATCATTAATTTTTCCTTATAGACTTCATTCCTTCCTTTTCTTTTCTCTGACTACCTAAATTGCAAGTATAGTTCACTGAAAACAATTGGAAATGGAAAACAATAACGATTTCATTGCTTTCCTGCCACAATTTCATTGTGTTCCTGGTAGATCGCGTGTTCCGGGGAGCAGGAACTCTGTCTGTGTGCTTCCCTGGCACCGTGCCTGGCACCTAGTAGTTGGAATAAAAAAATGTTCTCTATCCCCTGCGCTTCTGTTAATGCAGCTTCTCGTTTGGAAAATTGGGCAGCGTTGAAAGTAAACGCTCAATCCTTGAGCTTTTTAGCCCAGAGATGCTGCAGTTTGATCGTACATCAGGATCATCTGGAGGGCTGCTGCAAACAGATTGCTGCCCCCTGCTCCCCCCGCAGCGTTTCCGGTTCATTAGGCCGGGCGGGCCCAGGTGATGCTGGTGCCGCGCCTGGCACACTTGGCACACTTGGAGCCGCTGCTTAGCCTCCTGCTGTGCGGGGGCCTCCCCTCCCCAGCCGGGAGTCACCTGGGAGCGCTGAAAACAGCCACCTGGCCTGTTCCAGACCAGCTAATTAGTTACCCTAATGAGCTTCATTAACTTAATAGTCCCACCTCGGGTGGCTGTAACGCCAGCCAGGGTGGAGAACCCCTGCTCTGTCAGCTCCTTACACGGAGGTTCCGGCGTCTCCGTGTGCGCCCGTGCAGCAGCCGGGCGTCGATCTTGAACCTTTCCCGTCAGCTGGTGTGCAAGGGAAAGGCACGTTTGTGGGTAAAAATCCCTTCACGTGAGGGCGGCTGGGAGGGGAACTGGACAGAGACCCGTCTTAGAGGGCTTTCGTCTGTGACGGCTGGGACTGGCACTCGGGGAGCCTCAAAGTGTGTCATGAGGCCACACTTGTCGGCTCACATCAGTTCCAGAATCGAGCCCCACTACCTACATGGGAGGAATCTCTTTTAGAAGAAAGGCACCCGTGTGCAGTGTAGACAGGCACGTGAGTGTGCTGAACCTGGTGCTTTTAAAATGGGCTTAACTAGTGTGTACATGTGTAGGGCTATGCCTTTGGCAGGCAAAAATGTACGTTTGAAGGATTCAGGTTCCTCTTTAATTGAAGATTCAAAGAACCAAAATAATGGGGTTGGGCATGGTGGCTCACAGCTGTAATCCCAGCACTATGGGAGGTCAGGAGTTCGAGACCAGCCTGAGCGAGATCGAGACCCCGTCTCTACGAAAAATAGAAAAATTAGCTGCTCGTGGTGGTGCACACCTATAGTGCCAGCTACTAGGGAGGCTGAGGCAGGAGGATCCCTTGAGCCCAGGAGTCTGAGGTTGCTGTGAGCTATGATGATGCCACGGCACTCTACTCAGGGCAATAGAGTGAGACTCTGTCTCAAGAAAACAAAAACACAACAAAATAATGGGGCCACTTTGTAGTGCTATAGTTGCCTTTTTGGAAGGGGAATATTCTTTTATATATGTTAGAGGAGTCATGTTAAAAGGCTCTTTCCCTGAACTGGGGAATCTTTTTGGTACTGCAGCCATGCATACTGCAATCTTCCCGTTTTACTGTATGTCTGCAAATCCTTTTGGTATTTTTCAGTGGTGACACCTTCGTTGGCACTGTGGTGGTTGATCAGATGCGGGTCATGCTTTGATTGGCTCTCTTTATTGGCCACGGTGCTGGGGACACAGGGCCGTGGCTCCTGCCTGGTAGTCCCATTGGCTGCTGAAGGCTTTTGCCTTTTGGATGATCAATATTGGTGTTTTCCTCCCACTTTCAGGGTGTCCTGGACCGGTTTTCTCAAATTCAGCCAAAGCTGATCTTCTCGGTGGAGGCCGTTGTCTATAATGGCAAAGAGCACAGCCACATGGAGAAGCTGCAGCAGGTGGTTAAAGGTGTGTGGCCCTTACAACCTTGGCGGGCACGGGCGTGTGTGTGCACGTCTGAGCTTGCGCCTTTGGGTGCTGCAAGCTACTAAAACCCCGTGCAGTCCCCACACCAGATCCTGTTACCTTTTGTTAAAAAAAAAAACAACAAAATCAGTGACTAAGTATCTTTGCCCTGTAACCTTGAGTTTTCTCCTGCCCCGCCTAAATTCCAGGACTACCAGATTTGAAAAAAGTGGTGGTGATTCCTTACGTCGCCTGCAGAGAGAAGATCGATATTTCCCAGATTCCAAACAGGTAAAGAGCCAGCCACCCTCTAATGCGCAGGTACTCGGGGAAGCCACGCGAAATCCCACCCGGAAGTGGGCCTCTCGGGTCTTTCCACATGGAGTCGGTCGCAGCATTTTAGGAGTGGGGTTGGTTTTAGTTAAAATGATCATTTTGCGGGTGGAGCACCTGAGGCCCTGGAGCGAATCTCCCCAGGCCACCTAGGGAACGAGCGGTGGGAGCAGAAGAGGTCCCAGGGGTTCTCACTCCTTCTGTCTCAGTGTCCCTTTGACGTGGAGGGCTTGGACAGGGCCAGTCCTCCCTGCACTGGCCACACAGTTCGGCATTGCCACTGGTGTGTATATGCATTGTGCGCATGTGGGTGCAAGTGCATACACACACAACATGCACATGCAACACGCATGCACACACGTGTACATGTATGTATATACACATGCAGGTACACACACATGTGTTTTCCCTTTTTAGAACCCATGTGTGTTCCCCATTGCTAAAGACACCTTCCTTTGCTTTTTTGACATCTGCAAACTGATAAGCCACATGGCTTGAGTACCAGATAGAATTGTGAACATGTCAGTTTTTAATAGAGAGTAAGGAAATGGCTTATGGTTTGGTCAAAGTGGTATTTGTCCCCGAAGTTCTTGGCGTTATCCTCCTTTAATCTTTCCTGAGACAGTTGAGGGGAGAGGGTTCGGGGACTGGGCGTTTACCCTCGCAGGGAAGCGCTCCCTCGAGTGTCAGGTCTGAGCCACTGAGAAGAGCCTGGTGAGTGGCCCATCGAGGCTGGTGGGAAGGGGCCGTGGCCACATGGAGGACATCCTCCTGCCCACGTGAGCAGCAGAGGTGGAGGACGGGAGGGGATTGCAGAGGCCTTTTATTCAGGCCCGCGGCAGTTGACGTGTGGCTTATTCTGACCGCATCAGGGTGCTCTGGGGGCACCGAGAGGCACCAGGCACACGTCCTGGCCTCCAGGGTGTGCAGGGTGGTTGGAGAGGTGAGACACACCTGTGGGGGGGTGAGCCATGAGCACTAGGCCCAGTGGACACAGCACAGTGCCCACTGAGTGCAGGGGAAGGGAAGAAGTGCCCATGCAGTTGAGAGCAGGGCCTGCTGGCCTCTCTGTGGGGCCTGGGGAGGTGGCTTCTGAGGTGGCCTTGCAGGATGAGCAGGGTCTGGGGACATCTGGGCGTGCCAGGATTCCAGGGGACAAAGTGTGCTGCAACCAAAGTGTCGGTTTCTTGGGCTCAGATGTCAGCTGTGTGACCCTGTGCAAGTGGTTAACCTCTCTGTGCCGTGGCTTCTCCACCTATCAGGTGGGGGTGGTACCTTCCCCACGCCGGCTGTGGGGATTACAGGAGGTGGCGTTCAGCAGAGGTCACGCAGGCCGCTCTTGGCAGCACCGTCCTGTCGAGACGAGGCTGCAGTGGGCTCTGTCCCCTGGAGCGTCCGAGGCAGGACGTGTGGAGCCCTCCCAGGCAGGCCCGGCTGTTTGTCCCTGTGGTCTATGGGAACCCTGCTGCCTTAGCGACCACCAGGTGACGGAGCCCTGGTCCGTGTCGTGCAACCTTGGGTTTAGCGCCCCAGCTTTTACTGAGGGAGGCCGGGAGGGAAACCAGACAGTCTCTGCCAGCCCCGTGGGGGCGGCTTTTGTTACTCTGGGTTCATCGGTCATTGATACGAAGCGGGAGCATCCGGTGGGGTAGCGTTAGCCACTCCATTTAGCTTCGTGCAGTGCAGAAGCGCCCCATCAAGCCCCGGAACCACGTCCCGCTGCTGTTCATCTTGCGATAGCCGGCGGCCACTGGTAAACCGAAAACGCGGTATGCACATCCGCAGAGGACCGGGAAGCGGGGACCACCCTTTGGGCTTTTCATTTCTCAAAGAGCAATGAAAGTCATCCTGATTTACTGTGATTTATAGATCATTTGAGAGAAAAGGTTTTTGTCTGTGTGAAGCGCCGGATGAGACCAAGCATCTTAAGCAAGCGGGTTACATAGTGAGGAGGGGGTTGGCCGTGAAGTTCCACTGTGAGCATGGTGCTCTTTGTTTGTTTACCAGCCGGGGTTGGATTATTCTGGATGTCCTTTTTATTTTATTTATTTATTTATTTATTTATTTTTTGGAGACAGATTCTCACTTTGTTGTCCAGGCTACAGTGAGTGCTGTGGCTTCAGCCTAGCTCACAGCAACCTCAAACTCCTGGGCTCAGGAGCAATCCTGCTGCCTCAGCCTCCCGAGTAGCTGGGACTACAGCCATGCACCACCATGCCCAGCTAATTTTTTCTATATATATTAGTTGGCCAATTAATTTCCTTATATTCATAGTAGCCACGGGGTCTCGATCTTGCTCAGGCTGGTTTCGAACTCCTGACCTTGAGCAATCTGCCTGCCTTAGCCTTCCAGAGTGCTAGGATTACAGGCGTGAGCCACCGCGCCGCGCCCGGCCTGGGTACCCTTTTTAAACATCTCTCCGCCAGGAGAGTTCCTCACCTTCAAGGAGGCCTTCCCATGCAGGTGGCAAAATTCTTCCTCTTGGTGTGCGCACGTTTGTGTTTCAGGCTGATTATCCTCAGCAAAGCGCTGCAGGCTCATTTTAGCTGATTCCCACCTCCTTCCTTGAAAGAGAGAAAGTTCCATTTGTCAGAAAACGGTGTGAGGCCAGTGTTTGGGGATGGGTGTTTCTGCTGGTCTCAAAATAGCCAAGCCAGCCTTCCCAAGACGGCCCTGCAGCTTCCGCTGCTGCTTCTAGCTCAGAAAACTAACCTGCTTGCGTTGCCCCTTTGCTGGTTGGTGCTTTATGTCAGCTTTGGGGTGAGGCGGGCAGATTTCTTAGGTGACAGCCAATAACTGGGATTAATTTTATTTGTTCTTGGGTAAATATTTTTGTCTTGCTATTGTAAACCTCAGGATATAGTGAATTAGTGGTAACACATGATATTTGCCTGGCAGTTCTCTGTGATTGGGCCTTGATTCACCTTGGGACAGTGGCCCCACAGGTGTAGGAAGGGCTCATTGATCCAGGAGGGGAGCGTCCTGATTCAGACCCCCTTACCCAGCGCTTCCCTTTTGGGCTGTCGTTGGAAATGAGGCTTTGCCGATCAGGTGATGAACAGCGAACACAGGAAGCAACTCAGCAGACCCAACGCCCTTTCCAAAGCCTCCTTCCAGCGTTTGCCCAAATAAAGCAACTTGAAATCTTCACTCGTTCAATGAGTTTTCCTTCAATTAGCTTGGATCCCTGAGATTTGACTTCCTCCCTCCCTCCCAGAAAGCTTCCAGATCATGCCAGGGTCCCCTAGAAATCCGGGCTTTCATTGTTGGTAGGAGCCTGGGGGGAGTGCAGGCGCCACCTCTGGTGCAGCATTCTGGAACACTCACCGCCGGTTCCCCTGTGTTCCTGCCCACAGCGTGTTCCTGGATGACTTCCTCGCCGGCGGCTCTGGCGACCAGGCCCCGCAGCTGGAGTTCGAGCAGCTGCCCTTCAGCCACCCACTGTTCATCATGTTCTCCTCGGGCACCACGGGCGCGCCCAAGTGCATGGTGCACTCTGCCGGGGTAGGTCTCCCCGGGGCTCCGCCCGCCTCGCACCGCTGTGGTCTGTTTGCTGTGAGGGGCTCCCAGCTGGGGATGGGGGTGTCCGAGCCGGCCAGCGACACTCAGTGCCTGGAGATTCCAGCGCGCAGCTTCTCTCCCCAATCGGGGCGCCGCGTGGACATCTAGAGTTGGGTCTGGGTGGATGGAGAGCTGCTGTTCTGGGGACCCTGGTGGTACTGCCACCACCATGGCAGGTGTGGAGGCCACCTGCGCAGCACACCGTGTCACCAGGGCAGGGCACGTGCCGGCCGAGCCAGCGGCTTCCACCCTGCAGGTCAGGACCCTCAGGGGATTCTGAACTCAGGGGACGGCAGCCTGGCTGTGTTTTAGAAAGAATGAATCATAGAAATGTCGACAACAAAATGCAACCAAAAACAAAGTAGAGAAAAATAAAAAAGGTGAGTGAGAATAGCTGCGAACAGAGATATCAGTGCATGGGTAGTAAGAGGCGTGGGCGTTGTTTCCCGGAGCTGTCGCTACACGGGGCGAGCGTAGACGTGTGCATCTGACCACGAGAGAAAGAGTCGCTGCGCTGTGTTAGTCTGTCAGGGCTGCAGCCGTAGCAGAAGGCCACAGACTGCGTGGCTTAAACAGCAGTAGTTTATTTTGTCAGTTCTGGAGGCTGGAAGGGCAAGGTCAAGGTATTGGCAGAGTCGGTTTATCCTGAGGGCTCTCTCCTAGGCTGGTGGACAGCCGCCTGCTTGCTGTGAACTCCCACGGTCTGTCATGGGATACCCGGTGTCTATCTGTCCAAGCTCCCTCCTCTTATACGGACACCAGTCAGATTGGATCGGTGCCCTCCCTCCTGGCCTCCTTTTGACTTAATCACCCTTTTAAAGGTCCTACATTCAAATATAGTCACATTCTGAGATAATGGGGATTAGGGTTTCAACACATGAATTTTGGGGGGACACAACTGAGCCCATACATAACACTTTTCATTTTTCTTTCTTTCTTTCTTTTTTTTGAGTCAGAGTTTCACTGTGTTGCCCGGGCTAGAGTGCCGTGGCATTGGCCTAGCTCACAGCAACCTCAAACTCCTGGGCTCAAGGGATCCTCCTGCCTCAGCCTCCTGAGTAGCTGGGACTACAGGCATGCGTCACCATGCCCAGCTAATTGTTTCTATATATTTTTAGTTGGCCGATTAATTTCTTTCTATTTTTTAGTAGAGATGGGGTCTTACTCTTGCTCAGGCTGGGTTCGAACTCCTGACCTTGAGTAATCCGCCCACCTCGGCCTCCCAGAGTGCTAGGATTACAGGCGTGAGCCACTGTGTCCGGCCACTTCATTTTTCTTATTTCATCCACAGTCTGACAAGTACCTAAAATAATACATTACTATTAAGCAGATTTTATACATACAGATCAGTGACTTTTTTTTTTTTTTTTTTTGAGACAGAGTCTCACTTTGTTGCCTAGGCTAGAGTGAGTTGCCGTGCGTCCAGCCCCTGGTCACAGCAACCTCAAACTCCTGGCTCAAGCAATCCTCTCTGCCTCAGCCTCCCAAGTAGCTGGGACTACAGGCATGCGCCACCATGCCCGGCTAATTTTTTCTATATATATTAGTTGGCCAATTAATTTCTTTCTATTTATGGTAGAGACGGGGTCTCGCTCTTGCTCAGGCTGGTTTGAACTCCTGACCTGAGCAATCCACCCGCCTCGGCCTCCCAGAGAGCTAGGATTACAGGCGTGAGCCACTGCGCCCGGCAGATCAGTGACTTTTAACCTTTTAGTTTTGAAAGAATAAAGTACCTACAGAACCTATAGAAAAGTTACAAGGATAGTATGATAAACTCCATAGTACCCTTCAGCTAGATTCATTCATTGTTAACATTCTCTTTTTAACACCTTCAACATCCATTTTTAACATTTCCTAAAAGCCTCTTTTGCTTTATTTTTCTCAGTGTATACAGACACATTACTATTTTGCTTTTTGCTAAACCAGTTGAGAGTAAATTACAGTCATAAGGATCCCTTAATATTTCAGCACGTGTCTCCCAGGAAGAAGAACGTTCTCTTACAAAAGTGTATGTAGCACACTCATCAAATTCAGGAAAGTGGACGTTGATGTAATACTGTCATCTAATATGCAAATGTTGCCAGTTTTCCAACAATGTTCTAGCAGTTCAGGCTACATTGCATTCAGTTGTTATGTCTCTTTAATTTCTCCCTCTCTTTTTTTTTTTTTTTTGAGACAGGGTCCCCTTCTGTCACCTGGGCTATCATAGCTCACTGCAACCTCAAACTCCTGGGCTCAAGCGATCCTCCTGGCTCAGCCTCCCAAGTAGCTGGGACTACTCACACCACCATGCCTGGCTAATTTTTCTATTTTTTGTAGAGATGAGGTCTTGCTCTTGCTCAGGCTGGTCTTGAACTCCCAGCCTCAGGCAATCTTTCTGCCTCCCCTTGGCCTCCCAAAGTGTTAGGATTACAGGCGTGAGCCACCACACCCGGCCTCTCTTTTGATCTTGAGCAGTTCCTTGGCCTTTCTTTGTGTTTCAAGATACTGACGGTTTTGAAGAGTCCAGGTTCCTGGTTTTGCAGAATGGCTCTTGTTGAGTTTGTCCAGTGTTTCCTCACGGTTAGATCCAATTATGCAGTTTAGGGAAAAACACCACGGCAGTGACGCTGTGTCCTCAGCACATCTGATCGGAGGGTGCACTGTGTCGATTTATTTCATTTTTGCAGTTCCACTAGGTCACTCTTCAGAAACAAAATTCCTGGGCGAATTTGGTACTTTAATAACTGCTATCACATCTTACCTCCTCTAATCCTCGTCTGCTCCTGAACTTGACGAGAGAGTGTCTTTCTGACTCAGGTTAAATCCTTACCTTGGAGGCAGACCTCTTCGGGGCAGGAGAGAATCCTTGTTCTCAAGTCACTCTGGGCATTCCTGCCTGGCCGGCTCTCCAGCCCTCTCCGTATCCAACTGTCCAGTTTTTCCCCCAGTCGGCTTGGCCTCGAGGGAGGAGAAAAATCTGCAGTATCTTGGTCTGACCTTGTAATCGCTGCCTTTTCTCCCCCAGCTCGGAAGAAGAGAATTATCCGCGTGGAGGAACCTCGTGTTCTCAAACCGCTCCCTAGCTCTTGCCCGATGAGATGGTGGTATTTAGAGATGAAATATACAGTTTCCCTTATTCTAGCTCGTTTAGCTTTTACAGATGTTCTCTGTACCTAGAAGCTATTTGAATCCCTTCTGCAAAAAAGGAAACATTTACATTGGAATCATTGTAAAGCTTCAGACTGCTGTTCACAGAGGATTTTCATCCGAATGTGCAAAGGCGTTAACGTGGCTGGGTTATTACCCGGGTTTGGAGCCACCGAAGATCTGGTTGCAGGCGGTGAAATAGAGCCTCGGGTGCAGGTGCCTGGTGGCGCAGCGTGGGGGATTGAAAAGCCACAGGGAGGGAGGACATGGGGTGGGTGGGGGCAAAGGCTTTCTTTCTAGAAGTGACACTGGTCGGACCGAGCTGTTTTTTAGTAGGCAGTGTGTTGTCCTTGCTGTTCAGACGTCTTCTCATTTTATTAAATCAAGCCCCGGGTATGTTCATCATCTAAGGTGTTGTTGGAATCCGGTTTTCCCGGTGGAGGAGCGGCCCTGGTCACCTGGCCACGGGTCTGTTAATGGGCCCCAGGGATGAGCATTTTTAGAAGCCTTGCAGACTAGGATGGTGGGAGGGGGGAGGTGTATGTGGCCAAACAAGACATTGTAGGAGAAATTGAAATGTATAACTGTACTTTTATTTTTAGTGCCTTCTGCATAGCGAATGTCATTTTTTAAGGAGAGGAACATAAAAATGTATTAGATATAATGTAGTTTGCTCATAAAATGATCGTGCCTGGTATATTTAGAGTATGGAAAAATGAGGAAGAATTATATTTATTCTATCTCAACTGGGCTCTTGCATCTCCAGAGAAGTGACTAAGCATCTTGCTTGTTCTCAAGAGTTATCTTGACAATAAACTTAAAAACAGCAAGGTGAGCCAGGCCACAGTGGTTGGGGCTACTTGCTACGGTTCTAGGTTTACCAGGGCCGTGGTGGGGGGAGGTTGTGTCACTGGTTTGTTGGTTTGTGGTTTTTAACGCTTTGCACTCGGATGTCGAGTGTGGATAATGTCGAGTGGATAATGAGAAAAAAGCAAGTGAGTGCAAAGGGTTAAGTCCATAAAAGGTCTCAGGAAACAGCTTCCTTGTCCCTTCTCTTAAATTAAATCACTCTCTTGCCCCAGACCCAGGAAACCATGCTGTTTAAGCTTCCTAACCCTCGGGGGAGGCATTTGGACTTGGCCATGAATATGTAAGGATTAAGGGGAAAACTGTCCACGAGAATTGTCAGGATTCCTGCGAAGAAACTCTGGGGAGAGAAGCAGAGCCTGGCTTGTTTGGTGCCATCAGAGAAAACAAGGATAACTAGCGAATGTACGATGCGGGCTCGTAGGTCTGCTGTGCATACGGCAGAACATACGGGCGAAGATACGGATTTAGACTAAATACCGACTTTAAGTGGGAAAAAGAAAAAGGGAGGGGGATTTGCCGCAGGGTCACATTGAGAGCTCCTGGGCCTTTAAACGGATTGGATTCATCGTGTACAGATTCCATTCGTAGAAAGAGTTCCCGAGAAGTCGGTCACCCGCAAGCTATTGCCCACCTGATCTGCGTGAGAACAGCGTGTTACGGAACTTTCCGCGGGAGCCTGTGAGCGCCCGGGCTGGGCGAGGCTGTCACTGAGCCTCACAACAGGGACCCACAGGGAAGTCCCTCCCAGCGCAGGGGGCAGCGTCTGCTCTGCAGCCTCTGGGGACTTCAGTCGCTGCCCTTTGTGGACCTGGTGGTGGCCACCCTTCGGGAGAGACCCTGGAATAGAGGGTTGTGGCCCTGGAATTAGAGCGTCTGTCGGCTTGTTTCTGTTGAGCTCTGCAGGGGTCATCTTCTCCAGTTGGCTTTTGGACACATTTCCCTTGGGTTTGAGGAGGGTTGTAAAGGCTGGTGGTTTTTGTTTTTAGAGACAGGCTCTCACTCTGTCACCCAGGCTGGAGTTCAGTGGCCCTATCATAGCTCACTGCAGCCTCGGACTCCCAGGCTAGAGTGATGCTCCCGCCTGGGCCTCCCAAGGTGCTGGGATCACAGCCCTGAGCCACTGCGCCCAGCCAAGGCTCGTTTTTTTTTGAGACAGAGTCTCACTTTGTTGCCCAGGCTAGAGTGAGTGCCGTGGCATCAGCCTAGCAACCTCAAACTCCTGTGCTCAAGCCATCTTCCTGCCTCAGCCCCCTGAGTAGCTGGGACTACAGGCATGTGCCATCATGCCTGGCTAATTTTTTCTATATATATTAGTTGGCCAGTTAATTTTTTTTCTATTTTAGTAGAGACGGTCTCGCTCTTGGTCAGGCTGGTTTTGAACTCCTGACTCGAGCAATCCGCCCGCCTCGGCCTCCCAGAGTGCTAGGGTTACAGGCGTGAGCCACCGCGCCCGGCCCCAAGGCTCACTTTTAATGCACGGGTCCTTGCTCCAGCCCCGATGGTTCCTCAACAGCCCGGGGCTCACACCTGCTGAGGGCAGTGATCTGGCCACAGACTGGCTTTCCCCTTTCTGGGCACTGGAGGGGCAGCATCCCTGCCTGTCCTCAGGGTCTTGTGTGAGCTCCATTGTAAAGATGGGGAAACTGAGGCTGACAGTGTGGAGTGGCTGGTGCAGGTGCCACAGGCTGTGCTGTCTGGACTGTGCTCAGGGACAGGAAACGCCTGTCCTCCCTGCCAGCTGCCAAGCAACACAGGTGCTTGGAACGAGTGGGCTCGGGGCAGTGGAAGACTGTACTGCTGTCAACAACCAAAACAAAACAAAACCCCACAAGGGAGCTCTTCGATAAAGATCTTCAAGGTGTGTTAGATGGAAAAGGCAAAGTGCAGGACCGTGTGTCCAAAAAAGGGCACAAATACGGTTATGCTGGTATAGACCTGGAAACATAGACAGGACACTACTAACACCGGCTGCCTCTGGGGAGAGCTGAGTGCAGGGTAGGAAGAAAGGAAGGCTTTTGTGGTATGTTTTAGAGCAGTGGTCCCCACCTGCTTCGGCACCAGGGAGCGGTTTCATGGAAGCTACTTTTCCCACGGTCCCAGGGAGTGGAGCTCAGGCGGTGCAGCGAGCGATGGGGACTGGCTGTAAAAGCTCTGTGGCCGGTTCCTGCGTTTCATGGAAGACAGTTTCTCCATGGACTGGGTTGTGGGGAGAGGGTAGCCTTGGGGGAGGGTGGGGCTCAGGCCGAGATGCCTGGCCCAGTTCCTAACAGGCTTGGGACCGGTACTGGGCCACGTCCTGGGGTTGGGGACTGCAGCTTTAGAGTTTTGGACTGTTAAATATATTGCCCATTAAACCCTAAAATTAGAAAGTAACAGAAAGTGTGAGGGTGGGGTGGGAGGGAGGGGGTCTGATTAGGTGTCTTAGCTGGGAGCGGGTAGTCGTGCTACCCCAAAGGGAGGCGTCCCTGAGCTCCGATGGAGGCTTGCAGGTGGGCGTGAGACCTGGCGACACTCTCGCTGTGCTGTGCTGTTTGCACCGAGCCCTGTTCCTTTGCTCTTTAGTTTTGACTGTCCTCTCAGCAAGGGTCCCCGCTCTTCTGAGTGAAGCTGGCGGGTCTCCGTGGTGCCCTCGCTGGCTCGGGCATCGGGAGCTGGAGGCCGGCGGGAGCTTGCCGGGGTTCTCCTCCCCACGCTGTGAGCCTCGCAGGCGGCACAGGGGCTCGGGAGCGTCGTCACCAAGGCGGGGGCTCCAGGGTCCGCTTCCTGTGGGAAAGAGAAAGGAGACCCAGCTGGGCCTCTTCCCGGCAGAGTGCGTGGCGCCTGTGCCTTGGGGCCGCCGCTTCAGCGCGCCTCTCCCCCCAGGGCACCCTCATCCAGCATCTGAAGGAGCACCTGCTTCACGGCGACATGTCCAGCGGCGACGTGCTCCTGTACTACACCACGGTAAGGGGCAGCCTGAAGGTGCGGGTGTGGGCCGGGTCCCTTCCCGCTGCCAGGTGTTGCCGGGACCGCAGGGCAGGACGGGACCCGCCCCCTGCCGCCACCGCGCCTCCCTATCGCACGTCCTTAGACCAGAACCTGAGTTCGAGTGTGGAGGGACTCCTTTCCTTGTTGGACGCCGAAAGGTGAATGTTTAGGACACTTTAAGTGAAGTGTGTTTGACCCCAAAGGAGAACTCAAAATTGGCTTTTGCCAAGACTGCAGCTACCAAGAGGTTCTGGAACAATCTGGCTACGTTTCCTAGATGACGTTTTTGTGCCGTGTTTTAAAGGAAGCAGAGTGCTGGAGGCATGTTCCCAACCTGAGAGGTTGATGCCTGGGGCCCCAGCAGTGCCCCGTGGGACAGGCCCCCCGGGACAGGCCCCCCGAGACTGCACAGAGACACAGGAGGGGGGCCCTGGGTGGCTCTCGGTGTGTGACTGTGGGCAGGCAGCTTCACCTGGTGGGTCTCTGAGGGTTATTGGGTTTGAATCATTGTAGCCCATATGAGGGGAGGGAGGGACGGCAAGGAGGCGTGGGTTCCCTACGCAGGCCAAACCCTGTCACTCATGCCATAGGTGACCTGCTTGCTTGGCACTCTGTTCTGCCTGCCTGTTAGATTTTACTGTCTGTCCCGTGAGCTCTTGTCTGGGGCTTCTTATGCAGGGCTGTGTGGGGACCACTTGGGGTGCTTCCTCACATGGCCTCCGCGTCCCACCTCCCGGGATGCTGATTTCGGGGGTGTATGGGGCGCCCAGGATGCCCCAGGGACACCTCCTCAGTCTTCCCAGGTGGGGTTGCACCCCTGGGTCCTTCTTGCTTATGTGGTGGGGTTGGAGTGCTCTTTCTGTCCTCCTGGGTCAGGGATCTCGCTGGAACATGTCTGCACTTCTTGGCTTTTATGTTTTTTTAAATTTTTTATTTTTTATAATTTTTGTCATATATATATGTATATCGGAAGGTCAAGAGAAGGAATCCTTCTTGGCTTTTAAAAACATTTAGTATTAAACCAACATTTTCAAGTAAAATTAAAAAAATTTAAATCTACTTGCACATGGTAAAAATTCCAAGCAGTAGCAATAGGGTGTGCGGGGACAGGTGGGGCCTGCCAGGGCCCAGGGCAGTCACGGCGTCATCGTCGTGTGCGCCTGCCTGTGGCACAGACAGGGCCTCTGTAGGTCTTAGGGGGTGTGTGTCTGCCTGTGTCCCCTCTTTTCTGCTGATGGGGTTACGCTGCACGTGCTCTGCCGTCCTTGTCTTGCACTAACAGTCCGTCTTGGAGACGGTTTCCACCCATCCAGACCTCTTTTTTTTTTTTTAAACATTTTACATTTTATAGATTATTTTTTACTTTTTTAATTTTATTATTATTTTTTTTTACTTATACTTGTTATATGAAACAGACCTCTTTGTTTTTAGTGGCTGCACAGTGTCTGACCTCTTTTTTTTTTTTTTTTTGAGACAGAGTCTCACTCTGTTGCCCGGGCTAGAGTGAGTGCTGTGGCGTTAGCCCAGCTCACAGCAACCCCAACTTCTACGCTCAAGCGATCCTCCTGCCTCAGCCTCCCGAGTAGCTGGGACTACAGGCATGTGCCATCATGCCCGGCTAATTTTTTCTATATATTTTCAGTTGGCCAATTAATTTCTTTCTATTTTTAGTAGAGATAGGATATTGCTCTTGCTCACGCTGGGTTTGAACTCCTGACCTTGAGCGATCCTCCCGCCTCGGCCTCCCACAGTACTAGGATTACAGGCATGAGCCACCGTGCACGACCTGTATCTGACTTCTGAGTGTTGCTGGTGCCACGTGTGTTAACACACACGATGTCTTATGTGGGCTAGCTAGTTGTGCAGTGTTCGGTCGTGTGTGCACCGCTCGTGTCCATTCCAGCGCCAGCAGGCGTTTCAGCCTCTCGCCATCACCGGCGAGGCCGCGGGAAACCTTCTCTGACACGTCTTTGTGCACGTGTGTGGTTGTATCTGCACGGTCAGTTCTCAGACATGCAGTTGCTGGGCCAAAGCATTGTGCCCTTGACCTCTCTGGTCTTTGGCAGTGAGTGCCAAGCTTTGGCTGGGCTCTAGGTGGTTTTGCAGGGGCGCGGGAGGCCGAGTGGCGGAGTCAGGGTGGCCGGCCCGGCGCCGCTTACGCGCTCTTTCCATCTGTCGCAGGTCGGCTGGATGATGTGGAACTGGATGGTGTCGGCCCTGGCCACAGGCGCGTCCCTGGTCTTGTACGATGGCTCCCCTCTGGTCCCCACACCCAACGTGCTCTGGGACCTGGTCGACAGGATAGGGTAGGTACCTCGGTGCCGCGCTCAGGACGAGGGCCAGGGCCAGGCTGGTGTCAGGATCCGACGCAGAGCTGCCTTCGACACTGTCCCCATGTCGGGTGCCACCGTGGGAAGGCGTCACCCCTCGGGACGTCCCCGTGAAGGGAGGGCGGGGGAGGCGCCAGAAGCTGGAGGTGAAGTTGTTGCGGGCGGATCGGGATTCTTCTTCGTGGGTGACGGGCTGCCTCTGGGGCCTAGGAGTGAGCTCTGAAAGATCATACGGGTGTCAGAAGAAGAGATAAGATCCCATTTCTTTACTTTTAAAAATTTACTTTAATATACAATTATACTGGCAATATACAATTTTATACGATATAAAATATATTGTATATATTGTATATAATTGTATAATGCTAGCAATAATTGTATATATTTAAGGCATTCAACCTGATTTGCTATACATTTGCTATACATATACACAGCAAAGTGATTGCCATGGTCAAGAAAATTAACATATCCTTGTCCTCACACCTTCATTATCAGTTTTTGTGACGAGAGCACCTGGAATCCACTCTCCTAGCACACGTCTAGCATACAGTGCAGTGTTGTGACTGTAGTCATTGTGCTGGGCACTGACCTCATCTCTGTAGTTGTGGAATCTAAGAACTGCCAGAGAAGCTCAAAATGGAGGAGAAGCCGGGCGCGGTGGCTCACACCTGTAACCCCAACATTTTGGGAGTCTGGGGCCGGAGGATCACTTGAGCCTAGGAGTTGGAGGCTGCAGTGAGCTGTGATGGCATCAGTCCACTCCAGCCTGGGTAACAGAGTGAGATCCTGTCTCAAGAAAACAAAACCAAAAAACCAGAGCAGAGGAGAACTCAGGGTCAGTGTGGGGATCGTTTCACCCAGGGTTTGTCAAGCCGAAGAATAAAGTGTACTCAAGGCCGACCATACAGATTACTGTGGTCAGGAGTTCAAGACCAGTCTAAGCAAGAGCAACACCCCATCTCTACCAAAAATAGAAAAATTAGCCAAGCATGGTGGTGCATGCCTGTAGTCACTGCTACTCGGGGGCTGAGGCAGGCATCTGCTTTTTGAGGCAGGAGTCTGAGGTTGCTGTGAGCTAGGCTGACACCACGGCATCTAGCCGGAGCAATATTCTGAGAAAGCAGATTGGTTGGGCAGCAGTTCTTGCCAGTATCATTGCAATGCCCTGCGCACGTTGGACTGTCTACTCTGCACCCAGCACCCTGCGGGTCCTGACCACTGTACAGATGAGCGGCCTGCCAGAGTCCGGCGGGACGGGAGGTGGACTGAAGGATTGGCTGAACCTGGTGCAGGGAGTCCTGGCATTTGCGCTGAGGCTTGAAGGTTCAGGGGCTGCTTTGGCAGGACTGGTGGGACATGTGTTCCAGCAGAAGGTCAGCTGCCAGGCGCAGGTCACTGGGATCGGCTGCGACAGAGGGTGCCTTGAGTGAATACGTGGCTGGTGCAGGACTCTTGGGGCAGGAAACTGGGTGGAGTTTCCCCTGCGTGACATAGATCAACACCCGACAGTTTGAGTCTGGGCAGAGACGTGCTCTGGTTCCGGCTTAAAAAGTCCGTGTTGTACCGTTCAGAGAGTGAATCGTGGGGTGAGGGAAGAAGGCACGCAGGTGCCCCTGGCAGCACCGTCTGCGGGGCCAGTCCACATCCGGCTCCTCTCGCAGCTCCAAGCACTGCCCAGGACGCCGGGTCCCCACAGTTCTAGGGCTGTGACTCCCCACGGTACTTGCTAAAAATAAGACGCGGCACGCAGCGGCCGCATGTAGGCTCCCGTGCCTATGTGAGCAGAATGATATTGTTGCATTTTTAAGCCGGCTTATGCAAGCCCCGAGACAGGTGGGGGATGTTGCCATCTCCTCAGATAGGCAGGCTGTGCTCACCGGCCGGGGGAGCCACTGCCGAGCTCAGGGCTCGTGGTCTCACCTGTGCTCCATCGCTCTTCCGGCCATGGGGAGCCGTCGAGTGTTCGGGGGGCGGGTGGGTAGAGATGAGCCGAGTAAACACACAGTAACAACCTGTGTGTTGTTTGGGGTGTTGGCGGTTGCAGAGGTCTGTAGCTGAACCTGGGGGCTGTCACCACTGTTCGGGGTAGGCGGTCACCATCGGAGCCACGAGGCCTCTGCTCAGGGTGATACTTTAATCCGCAGAGATGATGTCGAAGTTGTGGATCAGACTCCGAGTTTGTGAAATAAGCGAGGCGGGCTGTTGGGTGGGGCCGTTCCTACGCCCCCCTGCAGTGAAACCCCAGCCTGCTCCAGGCCACGGTGACCCAGGAGGTGTGCACGCATCTGTGGTGGTTTCACTGGCTGCAGGGGCTTCTGGGGAAGTGAGAAAGAAGGCACAGGAGGTAGAAGGACCACAGTCACCCAGCCCCGCGCTCCGAGGGAACCCCACCCCGCCCTGAATGTCCTGTGTGCCTTGGCCTCACCTCCCACGATGCATCTCTCTACCCGAGCGTGCAGGGAACGAGTGGACCGCCCAGAGTGACACAGGAGAATCCTGATTTTAGAGCCTGCTGCGGGCCCTGAGAGAAAGTGTTCTGCAGCTGGGAAGATGGAGTTTCCGAGCGAGGGGCCGCCTGGCTGGAAGCAGCCCCAGGGCGGAGAGAGCGCTGTCCTTGACGCTCCCTTGCAAACAGGATGGTTTGTTCTCTGCGGGGCGTGTCGCTGTCTGGGTGCAAACACGGGGACAGAGGACTGTGGGTTCACAGTGCTCGAGAAGAGAAGACTGCAGTTTTCTACGTTTCCTAAAAACGTGAACTCATTTAAGGAAAGGAGGTCGGTAGAGAATTTGAAGCATGGCACCTGTTGTTAACAAATATAGAATTCCATAACCCTCTCCTTCTCATTGGAAGATGGACGTGTGAGGTTAGGATTTGAGGGGGCTCTTGATTTTATGGCCTCCACTGAGCCCCTGAGATAAAATACTCTGGAGCTGGGCAGAGAGTGGGTTCACGGGCCGATGATGGTTTTATTAATAAATAAAGGCAAGTGTTAAAGGGGCCGGGCGCCCTGCAGGTTGGTGTCCGTGTGGAGGCTTCTCAGGTTGGGTCTTGCAGCAAACACAGGTGCTGGGATTCGCTCTCAGGCAAAAAATATTAATTATTCATTTAATCCAGAAAAATGCCCTGTCTTGGTTTTTGCAAACTCGTCAGAGAGCTTTGGTGTGGGGAATGTGCGAGAGGCTTGAAGGTTTCTGGTGTTTTCTTTCCCACCTGCACCCTTAGCATCACCATCCTCGGGACCGGGGCCAAGTGGCTGTCCGTGCTGGAAGAGAAAGACATGAAGCCAGGTGGGTGTGCCTCTTATAGCACCTGTTCCCCGCACATTAAATCCGTCGTATGGCTGTTCCTTGCATGCAAGTGTCACTTAAGCCTTTGGGTTCAATTTTTACTCTTTCTTCGATTCTTACCCCCAGTGGAAACCCACAGTCTGCAGACGCTGCGCACGATCCTGTCCACGGGCTCACCGCTGAAAGCCCAGAGCTACGAGTACGTCTACAGCTGCGTGAAGGGCAGCGTCCTCCTTGGCTCCATCTCAGGTACGGCTCCTGCTCTGGGTCCTCCTGGCCGCCCCGCCTCCTGTGAGCGAGTGTACACACCCATGACCTAGCGAGTCAGCGTGCTGGCGTCTGTCCCACGGACACAGTCAGCAGGGCGCAGCCGATTCTCGCCGTGCGACGTAGTGATGTTCTGTAAAGTTGCAGTGAACACGGAGTTAGCAAAACTGAGCCATTGCTCCCAGGGGAGGCATGCGCGCGCGCGCGCGCGCGCGCACACACACACACACACACACACACACCTATCGCAGTCAATTACGACCTCAAATCCCCTAAACAACTCATCCTGGTAGATTCTGTTTTCTTTTTTTTTTTCTTCTTTTTTTTGAGACAGAGTCTTGCTTTGTTGCCCAGGCTAGAGTGAGTGCCGTGGCGTCAGCCTAGCTCACAGCAACCTCAATCTCCTGGGCTCAAGCAATCCTCCTGCCTCAGCCTCCCGAGTAGCTGGGACTACAGGCACGTACCACCATGCCCGGCTAATTTTTTCTATATATATTAGGTGGCCAATTAATTTCTTTCTATTTATAGTAGAGACACGGTCTCGCTCTTGCTCAGGCTAGTTCTGAACTCCTGACCTCGAGCAATCCGCCTGCCTTGGCCTCCCAGAGTGCTAGGATTACAGGCGTGAGCCACCGCGCCCGGCCTGTCGTTCACTATTAAAAAAAAAGAAAAAACAAGCCATTTGTCCTGGTCCTCTGAATTTTAACTCTCCTTGCAGGTGGCACCGACATCGTGTCCTGCTTCATGGGCCAGAACCCGTCTGTGCCCGTGTATAAAGGGGAGATCCAGGCGCGGAACCTGGGCATGGCGGTGGAAGCGTGGAGCGAGGAAGGTGATGGCTTTGCCGCCTCTTCCTCTCTGTGACTGGGTGTGAGTCGTGGCTTGGAAGTGCTCGGACGTGTGGCTTTGCTTGGGGGTAGTTCTTTAAAACATCCCTGCCTGAGGGGGTGGCTCCGGCCACTTGCAGCGTGGGGTCCTGTCCCCCTCAGCCTGGTTTCACAGCCGGGGGCCGCCTGTCCTCAGCTGCTGAGAAGACGGCTCGGGCGGGAGCCCGGTGCGGAGCTATGTGTTCAGGAACGGCGGGTGGGCGGGTGGCGGTGGCCCTGAATCGGAACCTTGGTGCTGGACAGGCGTGCATGGGCCGGCTCAGTGTGGGGTTGGAAGGGATGTCCTCCCGCCCTCTGTCACTGGCCCTGCGGCCTGCCCTGTGCCCGGCGGCTAGACCTCGGGCTGCCCCAGTGTAGGGGCAGGCAGGACTCGGTACAGCCGCTTTAGGAGGCAGTTTGGGAAGAGTGGGCCGAGTCTGAGACACGTAGGTGCCCTGAGGTCCAGGCATTGCGCTCCTGGGAGAAACACTCGCGAATGTTATGAACAGGGTGTCATAGGCGATAATGCTGCAGCCCCTCCCCTTCATTTGTAAACATAAACAGAATCGGGCAATACAGGTGCCCGTGTTCAGGGGCAATGAGCCCTGTGATCACCTGTGGAGAGGGAGGGACCAAGCAGCGAAAATGAATGACCGCAGTGACACGTGGTGGCCTGAACGCGTCACCTGGGGGTTTACGCCAAATGAACCGAGCGAGGTGCCGAGCACCGTCACGTGGTGCCGTTTGCGCGTTTGGAGGCGTGCAGAGTGAGGGCGCCTACCGCCAGGGATGCGTGCAGGTGCGGCGAAAGCGTTAATACCACGTCACGGGAATAACACGTCACTACCCGAGAGAGGTTTTGGGGAGTGTGTCTGAACGTCGCGTAACGGGCGGTCGCCTTGGGGAGAGCGCGCGGTGCCGGGGAGCGTGGCCGGGGTGCGCGCTGGGCTCACTTTACTCTCCCACGCCAGGGAAGGCAGTCTGGGGGGAGAGCGGCGAGCTGGTGTGTACGAAGCCGATTCCTTGCCAGCCCACGCACTTCTGGAACGATGAGAACGGGAGCAAGTACAGGAAGGCGTATTTCTCCAAATTCCCAGGTGGGTCAGCTGGCTGCAGGCAGAGCTGCGCAGCCTCTGCCTTAGCTGGACCTCCAGAGTCTAATTATGTGTGTCCCCCCCTCTGCACCCCCTTCCCACCCCGGCAAAGCCCGGGGAAGCTGCTCACAGCTCATCGTGCCGGTGGGGTGGTGATGAATTTTTGATCAGTATCTTCAGCTTGATGCCGTGCTATGAGACCGTCATCTGGGTTTGGTTGAATCTCAGCCACGCTCTGTGCCCAGGGCCCCTCAGCCCGACCCCTGCGGCCGGGGGCTGACAAGAGCCGCCGTGTGCCATGGGCGGGGGACCCCCTCGCTGACGCAGGGCGCTGCCTGCCTGCGCACAGAGAGGGTGCGGAAGGGGCGTCTGGCTCGGGTCTCCTCGGTCCTCGTGGAGACGTCGGAGGAAGAGCATCCTTGCGGTGGAGCGGTGTACAGCCAGACACGCCACTCTCGCACAGACCCACACCCTCGCCTGTCATCTTTTGAGGGGCGCCTCGCCCCGAAGCAGGGAAGTCTTTTATTTAAAGCTCTGATTCCTGCCTCCCTCTTGTCTTATTTCATAAGCACCCTCGAGTTGTTGCTGCTATATAATTCATAATTTAGCAAGCCTTCTGTTGCAGAGTTATTTATACTAAGTACTTGCTTTCTGCAGTCTCTAGAAAGGTAATTTAACTTTGCATAAACCACTCGCGGAGAATCAGAGCGGCGAGAGGCCGTCGGCAGTAGAATCTGCCGCCCATCCTTCCCGTTTCTCTCCTCGGCCTTGCCCGTCTGCCCGGTGCATGTCCAGGCCTTCCACCTGGCGTAGCGCCTCCCAGGCAGCAGTGTGGGCCGCCGCCCAGGTGGGGCTCAGCCTCCATGGGATCCCTGCTGCACTTAAGCCCCACCCTGGCGCCTGCTGGCACACAGGTATCCAGACAGACTCACGCAGAAAAGCGAGAGCGTACGTAGAGAAATAAATACTCTTCGGGTGACCCTAAAGAGGGCAGGGGCTCCTGTCTTCAGAAGGGAGGCCAAAAGGATTAGAACCTCAACTTGAGGACCCATCTAAGAAATGACAGCCCTTCATCTTCCACAGCATTGCTTTTTGAAAAAGTTTTTGTCACGTGCATAAGGGTTCATGTGATAAATGTCTCTCAGGATTAATTTGAGAATAAATCTTTCTCTTCTTGAAACTCTGATATTCCCTCTTAGAGAAAACAAATTCTTTGTGACCATTTGCATTTCCATTTTTACCTTGGCTGCCAGGAAGCTCAGCTGAAATCATTGCTTTGTTTGTAGTAGTCCTTTTACCCCTAGGCAGAGTTTCAATTCTCTTTAAATAATCCTGTCATGAAGTTGGTTTTACAGGTGGCTTTGTCAAATATTTCATGGGAGTAGGTGGGAGATATGAACAAATATGGAATGGCAAAGGCAGATAGGATAATGGATCTGAAGCTATGGGTGAAGGACAAGGCGAGCGTAGGTTGACCTTAGACTGTTTCCTCAAGCACCAGCACTGAGGGATTCTTGGACTGCACAGGGAAGGGATTGATGATGAAACCAAGCAGCAGAAGCAGAGCCCTTCTTCCCACGACAGGGACTGGATTTACAGACATCGTTGCCTTAAAAAGTGATGCCAGGTGACAGCGCAAACAGGCCATGTGCTGGTACTGAGGGACAGCCAGGAAATCATTGAGTGAAACATGACAATTCGGAACAGAGGCAGAGTGCCCCTCGTGTGAAAATTCTAAACGAAGCATAGGTGCGATTGTGCGAATAAATGACGAACAAGGTGTGTGAATGAGGGGTCACACGAGAGTGGTGGAGCTATGAGCCATTTTGGTTTTCTTTCTGGCTTTTTATTATTTTTAAAAACCTATAAATATTTTAAAATAGACGAAAAGCAGGCTTAAGGAAGATTTAGGTCATTGCGGTGACAAATCCCAGTCACTCCTGGTCCGTGGTCATCCGTGGTCACCTGCGCCCCCTGTATGTCCACTTCTGCCTCAGCTTCCAGGGCGCTCGGAGCGGAAGCCGCTGCTGTGGAGAATCAGGGTGATCTGAACCTGTGGGGTCTGTCGTAGAGAGGAAGACGTGGCTTTCGTGGCTTTGTTTTGTCATTGCGTCATCTGGCACCAAAGCTGGCGGCTGCGTGTGGGTTCCTCTGCGTGGCCTGGCTTTGCGAGGGATCCAAGTGTGTCGGGAAATTGTTTTCACAAGAGAAAGTTCCTTTAGGGTCGATGTGCACCTTCCTTTTCCTCTGCACTTCTGGGGCCTTGGTCATAGGGCACGGTATGACCGACGGCCCAGAAAAACCAGAAATTTCCACCAGTTCAGGGGAGACCTGACTCCACACAAGCCAGACTGTGTGTTGATCCTGGCAGCAAAGCTCCAAAATGAGACCGGATTCCCGGGCAGGCGGGCGGGACTGCCACCAGGAACCCCGTGTGCCGGGTCACCTCACAGATGTGCGTCTGTAGAAACTCGGTGTGTCATACGCAAGCCTAGGGATGGTTTTTTTTCCTTATGTCTGTGACTCTTTTTTTACAAGTCCAATGAGGAAGAACTGGTCTCCCAGCCTGAGCAAGAGCGAGACCCCGTCTCTACTAAAAATAGAAAGAAATTAATTGGCCAACTAAAAATACATAGAAAAAGTTAGCCGGGCATGGTGGCACATGCCTGTAGTCCCAGCTACTCGGGAGGCTGAGGCAGGAGGATTGCTTGAGCCCAGGAGTTTGAGGTTGCTGTGAGCCAGGCTGACGCCAGGGCACTCACTCTAGCCCGGGCAACAGAGTGAGACTCTTGTCTCAAAAGAAAAAAGAATGGGTCTCACGCTTTAGCTCGGAGAGGAGGGAGGGAAGACGTGGCGGCCCGCAGGTCTCTTTCGCACCAGCACACGTGGCTGGTGACTGATTCCGTGTCCCTCCGCTGCCTCCCAGGGACCTCCCCGGGACCTCCCCTCCCTGCAGAAGGCTCAGGCGGGGCCTGGAGCAGTGTCTCCTTTGTGGCGTCGCAGGAATGAGTGAATAGGTGGTTACCGGGTTGTTGCCAGGGTGGTGGCGGCTCTCGGCGCGTTGTGGGCTGTCGGGGTTGGCGCCTCACTCGAGTCGGGACGTGCTGGAGAAGAGATGTCGTGAGACTGGGTGGGGGAAGAGCTGCCGTCTTGGGGAAGCCGCCCAGCAGGGAGGACACGGACGCTGGCCTGTGCCGTGTCTTCCCTTCCGGGTGGCAGGAGCTCTTTGCTGCTGAGACAAATGGCTTGCACGGTGCAGCAGAGCCGGTGAAGATGCCCTTTTGAGGACGTGCGCCAGTCCCCTCCGTTTGTGGGGGTCAGGGCTGGGTTACCTGCCGGCAGGCGGAGCCCTCGGTGGTGGTGCCCTCAGACGGCGTGGCCTCTCCTTCCTGCTTGGGGTCTGAGCGGGGCGTGCAGCAAAGGAGCCTTTGCCTGTATCTGTTACGTCCAAAGCTGGGGGGCGGATCCCCTTGGGCGATTGGCTTTGCTGCAGCCCAGGACGCCGACCTCCCTCTGCATGTGGCCGGCCCAGGCCCCAGCTGCACACGTGGTTGCTCTCGTGGCCTCATGGCCAAGTAGGGAGTGCTCAGGGCACGGTGCAGCCACCTCACTCTGGGTCTTCCCTCTTCCCTCGCCCACCACGTCCCGGGTTTCACCTGCTGGCGGGCTGGCTGTCCACGTGGCTGGCGTTGCTGGGACAGGTGCAGTAGCCTCCTGTTGGCCATGCTGTTTGTTCCACTCCGAGGTCTGGCGCCAGCCCCTGCTGCCCGCCACACTTGCTTTCCAAGCTCAGTCTCTCCACTGTCCCTCAGATTGGCCTCCTCCAGACGCTCCCAGTGACCCCCAGTGTTGTGGCTGAGGTTGGTCTTGCCTCCTGAGTTCCCACGGCCCTTGCTGGCGCCTACAGGAGGGCGTTTCTCCACGCTGGCAGGGGCGGAGCTGGGCAGGCACTGTCCCCGCTGCAGCAGGTGCTCCTTGGGGCAGAGCTGCCTGGTTCCCTTCTGCCCACAACCCCGGGCCGCCAGCCCCACACATACCCGTTTCTGGGCCTGGGTGACGGCTGTGTACCAGCCTCCTGTTGCTGTCACACCTATCCTGGCCACCATCACAACCCCTTCTCCTGGGGTGATCTGCACTTCTGCTTCCCTCGCAGGTGTCTGGGCACACGGCGACTACTGCAGGGTCAACCCCAAGACTGGGGGCATCACCATGCTTGGCCGCAGGTGAGGGGGTCTGTGGAGTCGGCTTCTCTTGCCTGGAGCCACCATCGGGGGGCATCTGGGAGGGGAGGAGAGGGGCACTGCCTGTGAGGATTGGCACCCCACCCCTGGGCTCCTTGCCCCTCCTCACATCGGGGTGTCCCCACCATGCACGCCTCTGCTGGTGTCTGGGCCCTCCCTTCCCATCCCCACTCCCCTGGGGGCTCTGTGCTCTCCCACCTGTGGCCTTTGCACACACTGCCTCCCCCACTGAAGACCCCCTCTGAGGGAGTGTCATCCGCTCAGTCTGTGGCACGGGCCGTCCCCTCCTGGGGCCCTTCCTGTGTCGTTCTTGGAGTGGGTGTCGCCGAGCCGGCCTCCCGAGGGCTGGGGCCAGGCCTGATCCTGGCTCTGAGCCCGCAGTGGTGGGTCTCAGGTGGGGACCACAGCAAAGCGCAGCCAGTGTCTGTGCCCAGGAGGGGACGCGTGTGCAGGTGAAAGGACAGCGAGGGGAGGGGTCTCTGCACAGAGGGCCTCCCTCGATGTGTCGCTTTAAACTTGGGGGAAAAGCGGGCTGGCTGGTTGGAGGTTAGGAGGTGGGGAGCAGCCTTCAGTGGCTGGGCCTGGGGGCTGCCATGTGCAAAAGGGGTGACTGCTCTCCGCTTGGGACCCCCGGTGACCTGCCTCCCCCCCAGAGCCGCTGTGTTCCTGACCTCATCTCTCTTCCCAGTGACGGCACGCTCAACCCCAACGGCGTGCGGTTCGGCAGCTCGGAAATCTACAACATCGGTGAGCATTTTCCGACTCCCCCCCAAGTCACTCTCCGGTTACCGGGAAGGAGGGCGTGTCCTCGCAGAGCCCAGTGTCCAAAGACCCCACCTCTGGCGTGACTCTGCGGTGTGAGGAGGGACCTCTTTCAGCACACCTCCCTTTCCAGAGCACGCCTGCGCTGGCTGCAGTTTGTAGAACCTCAGAGTGGGACTGTTAAGGTCACTGGGCCCATCCCCTTCCTCACTGCATTTCCTCCTCACAGTGAGCTCGTTCAGGTTGGTAAATGGTGTCTACTCGTTACGGGTGAAGACACAGAAGCACAGAGAGGGTGCAGGATTGCTGAAGGCCACCCAGCACCGTGCAGGACACCAAGTACGGGTATCAAGCCCGTGGGTCTCATGACTGCACAGTGAGGTCACCCATCGGCCTTCAGAACTGCAGGGCCAGGGACCCAGGCCCAGCCCCAGCCATGGGGTCAGGCGGCCTCATACCTTAGTGCTTGGGTCAGAGCCCTGAAGGTGTGTTGGGGTTACCAGTGCAGCCAGGGTGGAGAAATCCTGATCTGCCTGATTCTGGCTCCTCCTCCAGGAAGTCCGCCGCGGGCACTTGCTTCCTTTGCACTTTGAATTAATTTCTCATTAGTAGGCAAGGCCCGCACACAGCCCCCTCGTAAAACCTCGTCCCGCCTGGGCAAAGCCAGAGCGCTGCCTCTGCCGTGAAGGGCTCTCTTCTGCTTGTGAAGCAGCTCCCTCGGCCACCGTCCCCTGCCGAGGCGCTCGTCCTGGGGGGCTGGGAAGGACACAGGCACCCATGTCTCCTGTCCTCCTCCCTGGCCGATGGCTGGACCCCGCTCCAGGGACAGTCTGAGTGCATGTCACCCTCTCCTGTCTCCGCAGTGGAAGCCTTCGAGGAGGTGGCGGACAGCCTGTGTGTCCCCCAGCAGAACAGGGACCGGGAGGAGAGGGTGGTCCTCTTCCTGAAGATGGCCCCCGGGCACGCGTTCCGGCCGGAGTTGGTGAGGAGGATCTGCGACGCCATCCGCGTGGGCCTGTCTGCGCGGCACGTGCCCAGCCTCATCCTGGAGACCAAGGGCATCCCGGTACGTACGGCCTGTCTCCTGCCACTCTGGGTTGGTGGCGAGGAGACCGCTGCCATCTCCCGAGAGCCCGCACGCCCGGGAGCCCTGGGCACCGCGCAGCTGGCTGGCGCTTTATATAGCGCGTGTCCGCGTCGCCTAGCAACGCCGCCCTTCCCTGCCGTCTTTGCCTGCCCTTCCTGAGGTGGCGTTTGCTGCAGCTTCTGCTCAGCGCCGCCGTGCGGGGTCGGCAGGCCCAGCCCGTAGGTCCATGGCTTTTCCCGGTGCGGTTTGCGCGTCTTCTCAAAGTCATTAATGAGAAAATTAATTTTAGCTTTTCAAAGAGCTGCTGGGTGCTCTTGCTCTCGCCTTTTAGATTTCAGTTCTGCCCGTGGAGACGAGACTCAAATCTGTTTAGAGGCCTGTCTTAGAAGCTATCCCCCGTCGTCCTCCGTTTAGCTTCCAAGCGGAGGGGGAGGTTCGCCCCGGTTGGATCACAGCTTTGACTCTCGTGGCTCGCAAAACGGTGCTCCCTCGAGCCGAGGGGAGAAGCTGCCGTGTGCGTGTGTGCGTGTGCGTGCTCATGTCCACACACAGCGAACTAGACACACAGCCACGTGGCAGTCTGTATTCGAAGCCTTCAGCAGGGCTGTTTGTTAAGGAGAAGGCTGGAGAAATGCTAACTGCGCTCGCGGGTATAATTAGAGACCGGATATAGCAGGGAGTGCCGCTTTTTTTTGGAAAATATGGAAAGATGCGATGCTGTTGACTTTGTACCTGCCAGAGCATACTCAGATCCTTCTCTTTGCTTCCACAAGTTCTTTCAGGATCTTCAAAACAACCCGTCCAGGAACGGGGGCTGGGGAGCGCACTCACAGCACGGCACTGCATGCAAAGCCTGCCTGTCCCTGGACCGCGGTCCTCCCTCGGTTGCCTCTGGCCTTTCTTTCCTCTTCCTAGCCCTTGGGCCACCTGCTTCCCTACTCCTCCAAGCACCTGCCCACATTTGCAGTATCTGTCCCTTTTCCTTAGTGTCCGTACCCTTCCTCTTCATGTTGGTCACACGTGGAAAGGGCCTCCCAGCTTGGGGGCTTCCCAGCTGTCTGTGTCTCTCTGGCTGGTGACTCTGTTGTTCTGGGCTCTTCTCTCCCCAGTTCTGACTTCCCCTGAGTCTGATTGCTCTGCAGTGTCATTTTGTGTGTTACTTGGGATTCTCAAGGGCCCTTGTGTCTTCAGACCCCCAGGGAGTGCTTAGGGGAGGAGTCACCCTGGGTGTCTCGGAGCTGGGCAGGGTCTGGCCCGGCCTCCGCAGGGAGGGTGACACCGCGAGGCCCCAGCCTGCCTCGCTGGGACCCACCTCAGCGTCAGCATGACAGAGGTCCCACCTGCAAAGTTCAGGAGGGCCCTTTGCAGGTCTGACGAGCCACACGGTGTTTGTGGGGAGCGGGCCACCCCCCCATCCACCCTGGGAGCAGACTGGGCTCAGGAGTTAGAGACCTGAACAAGAGTGAGCCTCTGTCTCTACTAAAAATAGAAAAATTAGCCGGGCATGGTGGCACATGCCTGTAGTCCCAGCTACTCAGGAGGCTGAAGCAGGAGGATCGCTTGACCCAGGAGTTTGAGGTTGCTGTGAGCTACGATGATGCCACGGCACCGTAGCCTGGGTGACAGAGTGAGACTCTGTCTCAAAAAATAAAACCAAAAGCAAAAAAACCAAAAACAACTGAAAGATGCCCCTAGTGTTTTGTCAAGTGAGGGAAGTAGGTCTTAGTTCCCACGAGCCGCCCTCGAGCTCTTGGGTAGAGCTTAGCAGCACAGAAAGCGTGCGAGACGTTTGCATTTCACAGAGAGGGCCGCTGACACCACACCGAAGTGACAGGCAGTCCCTCCGAAGAAGCCGCCGCGCAGCACTTAGATCCTTAATTAGTTCACACGTCAACTGGATTTTTCAACTGAATGAATTTTAATTACATCTCAGGTTAAAAAAAAAAAAAGGCACCAGTGCTTTGAGAGCTCCGGGTGCTGCAGCCTTTCTGGGCTTGGCTGCTCTAGAAGTTTCTTGGCCCATAAACACGCCAGCACTGCTAAAGGCCCCTTAGGGTTAAAGATGAAAGACATGTGCCACGGATTTCAGAGGGAGCTTTGAATGTTCTGAGTCTGACTCTACAATATAATAAAGTGATATACATATATATAATGAAATTATAAACATAAGTAAAAGTAAAACCATAATACCATTTAATAGCAGGCGTTCCTGAAGCCGTGTGTGTGTGTGTGTGTTAAACTAATTCATTCTCGTGCCCACAGCCCCCAGGATAGGTGTGTGTGTGTGTGTGTGTGTTAAACTAATTCATTCTCATGCCCACAGCCCCCAGGATAGGGGCTGTCATCATTTGACATTCGAGGAGACAAACTCAGGTTAAGGAATTTCCCTGGAGTCCCCAGAGGTGGTGGCCCAGGAGGTCACATCTTTGCTGAAAACTCCCTGTTGGGATCTAGGAACGAGCTATGAGTTTTCACAGTCCAGAGTCCTGGTGACAGGATCCCGAATCCTGAGAAAGAGGCTCGTTTTCCCGTCCAGAACATGCGGCGCCGGGGACAGTGGGCGTCTGCGCTCTCTCGAGGGCCAGCCTGGGTGTGACGCGTACAGCTGGGTTCTCACGGGGCCTGATCAGATGTGCCACGTTACAGCAATTTGCTCACGTGGACGTCGAGGCATCTCAGGGGTAGCCCCGCTGTCTAGACCACGCAGGGGCAGCGAGGGAAGGTTCTAGAGTGTTAGAGTTGGGTTTAAGTATTGGGCCTTGAAATTGCCTTCCAGAAGAACAGACTTTTCCCCCAAACACAGAGGGGACAGTTGCCTGTGCAGGTATTTCGGTGCGTGTTTTCAGGCCTGCTCAGTGGGGGGACCTTTGGAACCTAGAGCCGATGGCTTGTTTCCCCGGGAGGTTTAATGCTCTTTTCTGTTTGTTTTCTCCGCCTGCCCCTCACAGTACACACTTAACGGCAAGAAGGTGGAAGTGGCCGTGAAGCAGATCCTCGCCGGGAGAGCCGTGGAGCACCGGGGGGCTTTCTCCAACCCCGAGGCCCTGGACCTGTACCGGGACATCCCCGAGCTGCGGGACTTCTGACGGTGTGTGCCGTTCAATGCACATGTGTGTGCTGTGACTTCCGTATGTTCCAGAAGTTACTGAGACGCCTACGGCTGTTTTACAGGGACGTTTGCACCAAGCACTCTGCAGGCTTGGGGAAGAATCGTTTCTCTGTTTTGTGGTTGACTCCGGGGGTGCCTCGGTCTTCTGCATCCTGGAGCGGGATTCTGGCTCTCAGAGGCCACGAGGGAACGACTGGGTCACTTGCGTGGTGCCTCGGTGACAGCGTGTGTGTCTTTGCACCCACAGGAGGGGCACAGGGCGGCCAGTGCTCTGGTGATGGACATGCTCCTGAGTGGCGACCTTGCCTTCCACCCGGTGCTCCCATTGTCCCGTTTCACCCTGGTCCGGTGGGAACCCGTTTCTTCCCTCCGCTCACCTGGCTCCCCTCAGGCCGTCCATCCCCTGCTGGGCCTTGGCTGCTACGAGGGACCCCTGCCCCCCCATGCAACGTGACACATCTTTTCCCAGCTGGCTGCTAGGCCCTCGGCTGGCCACTCACCCATTGTCTGTGTCACCTGCGGAAGGGAGGACCATGCTGTCACACTCCGACCAAAGACGCCTCCCAGCCACTGAAGCTTCCCTCGAGGGAGCGAGTGGCTGCCACTCTTTAATGGGATCTTTTTACCACACAGACTTCGAATGCTTTCAAATGTTTTTAATGTCACGTGTCTGGCGTGTGTGGGCATGCAACACAGCGGATGTCCACCTGTGCCCCAGGCTGCGTGTCCCGGCAGCGCGCTCACGCAGGCCCTGCAGAGACGGAGCTGCCTGGCCAAGGGAGGAATGGCAGCATGCACATACCTTGAGCATGGGTCGGTAATCCTGATGTTCGTTTTTGTATTTTTTTAAACTGAGCACAGTGAAATATACTTTTTGGAGTCCCTTTCCTTCTGGATTGTAAAAGTATAGCAGGAAGTGCTATGAGGAATTTTATGCAATAAATAAACATGTACGTGTACACCCATCAATGCACATGCCGTGTGCTTGCGTGTTCTCTGAGGAGGGTGACTGCCTCTGCGTGCGAGAGGCTTGGCTGTGCTGATGAGCCAGCCATGCCTCTGTCCTGGAGTTGTGCAGCCCAAATCTGGGGGGCGTTTCTTGGGCCCTGGTATTAGCCAGTCCCTTGTGACTGCTGGCCAGGGAGCGCTGCTCTGTGCAAAACCAGCACCCCGGGCTGGCCATGGCCCAGAGCCCGCTGGGTTTCTGGACGTCAGCTCCTTTCTTGGCGTCATAAGAGCTGTGTGTCGCTGGGGTTGTGTCTCGCTGCAGGCCACAGAGGGCAGGCTTGGCCCGGCAGGGCTCACGGTCCTCATGTCACTGGAAGTCAGAAGCTGTTCTCCAGGGCTGGGCAGTGACTCCACGATGCAGCTGTCCCCAGGTCCTGTCTCCTGCCGTCCTCAGTAGGTGGCTGCCCCACCTCCAGGCAGGAAGGAGGCGGCGGTGACAGGAGCGCTGAGTAAAAGGCAGAAGCCTGTACCTCACCCCTGGGGTCCCTTTTTGTCAGCAAGATGCTGACTTTTCTGGAAAACCACCAGCTCACTTGTGCTGTGCCTCGCCGGCCAGCATGGGACGCATGGCCACTCTCCCTGCAAGGGGCATCTGAGGATCTGAGTATTTGGGAAAGGACCTATTAGTTTCTGGTATTCATTTCCTATGGGTGCTGTAACAAATTATTATAAACTTAGTGGCTTAAAACAGCCCAGATTTATTATGGTTCTGGAGTCAGAAGCCTGGCGTGGTCTCACCAGGCTGCAGACAGGGCGTCAGCAGGGCTGTGGACCCTGCAGGGAGAATCTGCGTCTGTCTTTGCCACTAGAATAACCCGGTGTGACCTCCCTGTCGTAAGACCTGCTACTTAGCGGCCTTAACTTCCCCCTTTCTGTGTGTCTGAGTGGGTTTTGTTTGCTGTCATAACACCTGAGCCTGGGAATTACTATAAAGAAAAGAGGTTTATCTGGCTCACGACACCCGTCGGAAAAGTTCACGATTGTGCAGCTACGTCTGGTGAGGGCCTCAGGCTGCTCCCGCTCAGGGCGGAAGGCGGAGGGAGAGCTGGCGTGTGCAGAGATCACATGGCGAGAGAGGACACCAGAGTCTTCAACAGCCCCTGCACAGGGTGAGGGAGGCCGTTAATCTGTTCATGAGGGATCTGCCCCTGTGACCCACACACCTTCCAGTAGGCCCTGCCTCCCAACACCGCACTGGAGATGCAACGCCACCCTGAGTTTTGGCGGGGGGCAAACCACACCTGGACCACAGCACCACGTAACCTGATGCTCGAGGGTTCCGGGATGAGGATGTGGCGTCTCTGGGGGCCGGGATCCTGCAGACCTCACCTTGCAAACACCATCAGGGGACCTGTCCCGAGCAAGAAGGGGAACAGTGATTGTTGGGGAGGGGGGAGGCATGAACCCTGAGCCGGAGGAACCGAGCAGGAGGGCGCCTGGCTGTGGGCCACCCTTGCGCTGGGCCTGTCCTCCCGTGTGGCCGGCCTGCGGGCCTCCCCACCAGGGTTCACGTCGGGCCTGGGACCTGCAAGGCCCTTGCCTGTACCGGTGCTTGGAGACTCCCGTGTTGTCGGTGTCTGAGGAGCCATTATGGCTTAATCAGCGTGCCCTTTAGTTCCAGCAAGACGGCCCAGGCTGACTAAGCCCACGCGTCCTTATTAATAAGCTGTGCCGGACAACTTCATTAATGAGAGACAGATGGTGGGGAACAACAGGGGCCCGATGCACGCGGTGCTGCGCCTGCCTTGGACGTTCCTTGGCCCGAGCGTCACTTTCAAACCCCACCACCTGCCGACCAGCTGCCTTTTCCTCCCTGAGGTGGCCCCAGGCTGCGCTGCGCCTCTCAAGGCCTGTCCCATCAGCAGCTCCTGAAGGCACCGGGATCTGCCACGCGGCCTGGCTGGGGCTGCGGGATTCTGTCTCCATGGCCAGCAGCCCTCTGCACGCCCGTCCTCCCCTGGGCCTTCCTTCCCACCCTCAGAAGCCTCCCCGGGGCTGGAGGGCTCCCTCCTGTTTCTGGGTACCTGGCCCGCCCTCCTGCCTGGGCAGACCCTCCTCAGGGACCCTGCAGCTGAATCGATCAACTTCAGATGCAGGCACCGGCCCGCCTGTCCCTCACACTGTGATCTGAGCCCTCGAGGACGGGCCCAGGTTGGCTCACTCATCTGCTTCCCAAGCAGATGGCCTGAAGCCCACCAAGCCTTGGGAAAGGCGTCTTCCTGACCTCGTCACTGTGGCTGTAGGTGAACGGAAGCCCCCGCCCCGCCTCGGGTCTTCAGATGCCTGAGTGGGGGTCTCCAGGGGAACAAAACTCCCTTTGAACACCCAGCTGCATCCCACCCTCAAGCCTCCAGAGGGAAAGTCGCTCACAGATTTATGGGGGTGCAGGCTAGGTTGCTGGGACAGGTACCCCCAAGTCTGGCTCAATCGGGAATGTTTTCTCTCCTGTAACAGCCCCAAAGTAAGTCAGTGGGCTGGGGGTGTAGGTGGCTTTGTTTCTCAAGGTCACCTGGCTGCTTCCATCTGGTTGCTGCATCATCCCCTGGGAGGAAGGTCCACAGGGAAAGGGGCATGGGGGTGTGGCCTAACCCTAACCCATGTCCCACTGGCCAGTGTCATCACACGACTGCACTCAGCTGTGAGGCTGGGAGAAATGCCGTCTGGCGGGAGGTGGCTGTCCTCCCGAAGCCCTGGTGGTGGGTGGAGCTGGCTCTGATGAGGGGACAGGGATCTGGAGCCAGTCGTGGTTCCTCCCACAGGAATGAGCGCACCCGGCTGCTGCTTGCGCCATGGGAGGTATGTCTCCTGGAGAGAGACAGACGGTGGACAGGAAACAGGATTGTCTGATGGGACACCAGGCTCTTTAGCCAAGGTGGTCTGGGGACCCACAAGTGACCCTGAAGCCACGGCCTGAGAGGGGTGACACCACCACGTGAAGACTGCAGGACAGCCGGGCAGGCAGAGGTCCCGAGAAGGGAAGGAACTGACCTAGAGAAACAAAAGGGCTATTTTGAGGACGCAGGGGCTGGAGAGTGGAGAGGCAGGTGGGCCTGCAGGGCCAGGTGTGGACTGTATTGTAAGGGACCTCGGAAGCCAGGGAGGACTTTGAATCCCACAGCTACATCGTCAGATGAGCATTTGCAGGGTCGCGCTGAGGGAAGTTCCTTTTACCGGCCTCCGTCAGGGCCCCAGGGACGGGTCTTGATTGGGGGCAGGGTTGTGGGAGGCTTGACCTTGGCTCCCCAACTTCCTCTTTCACTCCTCGCTCTTCTCCCCTCTCTGCACCCCGAGCACCTTTGTGCACAAAACGTGAGAATGATTCTGGTCTTTGAGCAAGTAGGTGCTGAACATTTAGCCAAGACATTGGGGAGGCTGCCCGATCACGCCCAGGAACCCAAAGCTGGCTTTGACGAGCTGCTGTTCTTTCTCTCTGAGCCATACCTGCCTTTTACGTTCGTGCAAACTATTTCTAGAAGCCTCCTGCCATTTTGTCCCCAAACTTTCAAGACCGTCGTAAACGAATAAGGAAAGGCCTGTCAGGAACATGTTTAAAATATGAGCGAGACGCCGGCACGTTGTCATGGTTTATCGTGCTGGAGAGAACGCTGGCCGTCACAGCGGTAAATGGGCGGTCTAATAATTTCATTAGATGACTTCCAGGGGAGAAGCAGTTGTTAGTCAATTCATTATGCGCTGGAACAGTTTCCAAACTTTTTCATCTCGGGGCTCCCTCCCTGTGTTTCCTCCTCCTCCTCTCTTTCCCTGGCTCAAACAGAGATCACAGTCAAGTTGGGTTTTTGGGAGGGTGAGAGGCAGTGGTTGTCACATGGATCCACCTGGCGTGGACCCAGTTTTCATTTTGCAGGCTCAGGGCTCATCTGTCGCCCCGGCCCTGCTCACCGTTCACCTGCGGGGCATGGTCTAAATGTTTTTGGCATCCACTTCCTCCTTTCAGTCCTCACTCTGTATTTTGTTGGCTGCAAGTAACAGAAAATCCAACACCAACCGGCTCAAGCAAAAAAAAAAAAAGCTATGATTAGCTCACTGTTTTGAAAACGCCACTGCTGGGCTAGCTTCCGGTGTGGCTGGAGCCAGGGGGTCCGTGACGTCATCAGTGTTCCCCCTTGGCAACTCAGCTCCGCCTTCCTCTGTGCGGACTACATTCCCCGGTGGATTCTTTCCTCCTGACGGCAAGGTGGATACCTGCAGCTCCAGCCTCGGGTCCTCACGGTGCTAAGAGGCAGAGGAAGGTTCCCCTCACACTCCCTCCATCACTCCAACACGAGTCCCCATGTCGGTGCTTATTGGACTGTTTCGATCATGTGACCAAGCCCGAGCCAATCACTGGCCAGAAGGAGGGAATATGCTGATTGGCCAGGCCTGGGTCATATGACCCCTCCAAGCATGGCACCAGCTGCGCGAGGAGCAGGCCTGAGGGGGGACAGGTGGGCTCTGGAGGAGGCAGGGGGTTCCCTGTAAGAAGTGGGGGGGCGGCACCCGAGCCCTCTGTTCCTTCTGTGGCTGACAGTCTCAGGTGGCTTTCAGGTGCTAAGTGCGTGGTAATTTATTAAGCAGCAAGAGAGAACGCACACCTGAGGTGGGGGCGGGGCCAGGCCCCAGCTCCTGTGGCCGCACTCTACCCAGCACCGCCAGAGGTGTGAGCCCCTGACGGGAATCTTCCTCTTTTATCTCTTCTCTGTGTCCCCACCCCTTGGTCCCAGCTAGAGTTGCGGTTGGCGCTGTCAGTCAGAACCCTTCAAGTGCCAGTGAGAGGAGGGCCTCGCTTCAGACACAGCAGGGTCCAGGGCGTGGGTCACTGTGCTCAGGATTCTCTCCTCCTGATGGCAAGGTGGGGACTTGCAGCACTAAGAGGCAGAGGAAGGTTCCCCTCACACTCCCGCCCTCGTTCCAACACGAGTCCCCATGTTGGTGCTTATTGGACTGTTTGGATCATGTGACCAAGCCCGAGCCAATCACTGGCCAGAAGGAGGGAATATGCTGATTGGCCAGGCCTGGGTCATATGACTTCTTCAAGCGTGGCACCAGCTGCGCGAGGAGCAAGCCTGAGGGGGGACAGGTGGGCTCTGCAGGGCCCCGGGTTTCCCTGTAAGAAGGGTGGGGGCGGCACCAGGCCCTCTCTTCCTTCTCTGGCTGACAGTCTCAGGTCGCTTTAATATAATTTATTAAGCATCAAGAGAGAACTCACACCTGAGGTGGGGGCGGGGCCAGGGCCCAGGGCGGTACTCTACTCAGCACCTGAGTCCCTGACTGGAATCTTCCTCCTTTACCTCTTCTGTGTGTCCCCACCCCTTGGTCCCAGCTGTAGAGGAAAGTGTCAATGACGAGCTTGTTCTGTCAGTCAGAACCCTTCAAATCCCAGTGAGAGGAAGGCCTCTCTCGTCACTGTCACCGGCTTCAGGCACAGCGGGGTCCGGGGCGTGGGTCACTGCGCCCAGGGTTCGGCAACTCAGGGCGTCTGTACGGGCAGGAGGGTGCGGGGGTCAAGGCCGCGGGCTCTGGAATCGGGTTGCCAGATAGAACACAGCACACCCAGTTCACTTTCGGTTTTAGAGAAACACTGACTAGCTTTTAAGTATGAGAACGCCCCAAATAACACATAGGACGTATTTATATCAAAAAGTACTCATTGTTTATCTGAAATTCAAACCTAACTGGATATTCTGTGGTTGTATCAAATCTGGCAATGCTATTCTAGAACCAAGTGCCTGGACCTGAGGGTTGGCTCTGCCTCTGTGTGACCACGGAGAAGGTACTTAACCTCTCTGAGCCTCCTTTTCTCGTCTATAAGTGGGCAGATTAAGAATACTATGCATCTCACAGGGATGTGATGAGAGTGAAGTGACACGTGCCTATAAGTAGTGCCAGGTACATAGCAGTGTTCATACATAATTCTGTCATTTTTTATAGTCTCTTATCCCTTCTTTCTCTTGCATAGGTTTCATCTTTGACTTTTTCCTAAATTCCAACAAAAGCCTGGGGAGGTGTGTCCTGGCCAGGCATGTGCCCGTGTCTGAACCAATCACAGAGACCAGGAGAATGGAACATTCTGATTGGTCAGCACCTGGATCATGGGCCCACCCTGCAGCTGCTCAACCTGAACCAGGTGGCTGAGAGTAGGTGGTGGTCGGTCCTCTGGGAGGATTGGGGTGCTAATGCTGGAGGTGGGGATGGTTCCAGGTGGCACAGCCCTCCCCCCCAACACAGCTGCTGGGTGTTTGCGAAGTGGCAGAATTCCAGGTCAGGAAGAGGTGCTGTGGCTGCATTTGAGCTTAGGTCACTGCCTCCATTGGCATGGCTTCAAGGCCTCTGGCCACCAGTCCCGCAGGAAGGCAGAGGGATGAGAGTCTGTAAGAGATAAGGCCTGTTTGAGGCGGGACAGAAATTAAAGCATTGCCTGAATCTTACCTGCAGAGTCTAAATAGAATTCAGAAAAAATTTGTTTTTTCTGGGTCTGAATGTTCACACAAATGAAGACAAATGAGACTTTGCACAAACACAAGAATTGAGTTCTGAGGGCCAGTCAGATTGACATGGAGGCAGACCATCTTTGGTAGAAACAACTTCCTCTGAGATAAATCCTGTCTTATAAAATCGTAGTACCCTTGGAGCTAGCATTTCCTTTACACAGAGAGTCACCTCAAGGGTTGTGGCGGTTAAAGAAAAATGGTGGGAACATTCTTGACACTTCTCTTGGGCATGTCTATATCCCCTTCTCGAATCTGGGTAGCTCGGTGATTGGTTGTTCTTTGAGTCTGAACAGGTAACTTATAGGCTGGATAGGGAACCACGGAGCTCTGCCTGGTCTCTGGGTGTGTCACATGTGGAGGAGGCCCCCCGCCCATTTCAGACGTCTGACTCCCTCGAGGTCACCATGCTGGAAAAGTCACATGGAGGTGCTGTGGTCCCGGCAGAGCCTAGGGTTCAGCTGTGCTCGCCAAGGCAGCTCCGGCATGTCAGTAAGTTGCCTCTGATCCTCCAGGTTTGCCATCTGCCAGCTGAGCATCCTCGAGTAGCCTCGTGGACACCACACAGGGGAACAGAAAAATCCACCCAGTGGAGTCCTGCCTGAATTCCTGACCCATGGAGTCTGTGAAATGTAATAAAATTGCCTTCATTCCGTGCACTGGAGTTTGGGGGTAGTCCTGCAGCAGTAGCAGTTGGAACAGGGGCTCCTTTGAATGGACCAAGCTGGTGATGTCAACAAAGAAGGTTGGCAGAGCCATGGGAAACTAGGGACACCAGGAGGCTGCTCTGTTGAAAGGCAGTGCCGTGGTGGGAGGCACAGGTGTAAAAAGGACTGGCCCTGTAGCCGACTGTCTGGGTTCAAGTCCTGGCTCTGGTGACACTGTGCAGTTTCACTATAAAATGGGACTAACCATGAACTGCAACTTGGCAACAAGGAACAGACGGCTCAAAGCAACGGCCAAGGGTTCAAATCCAGATCCACAGATGGATCTTGCTTGGCCCTCTACAATTGGCTGTTTATTATTTGGATCTAGTGCCAATTTAGAAACTGGAGATTTCACACTTCTCTTGGGAAAAAAGGGAAGATAGGGCAAGGTTGGGCCACATTCCCTCTGGGTCACCGATCGCCAGTCACCAGTGGCTAGCACTGAATGACCCTAGCGTGGGCCTGGACGTTTGCTCTAAGGCTTCATGTGCGTTGATTTGTTCAACCGTCAGGCAGCCTACAAGGCTGTGTCAGGAAGGGATTTCTGGATCAATGATGAGATCCCAGAGAGAAATGGGCCCACCTCAGTGGGTACCATGGTGGGAGATGACGATGAGAAAGTGTTCTCCACCCCCAGCCTGGCAAGACCAACCCTGTCGATTTAGGCACAGCCCTGGGAGAGAGGAAGCCCCCACCCATGACAGAATCACTCACATCCCCAGGAGAGTGGAGTTCATTAAGAAGTTAATTTTGGTTATTGAAAAGTAAAGTCATGTTTCTGCAAACTCTAGTGTGGGCTGAGCGCCTAGTGGAGCGCCTGCTCCTCGAGCAAACCCGTGTTTGAGGATTTAGGCTGTTCCGAGCATGCAAAGATCCACTCATCTCCCTCACGACCGTCCCACAGAGAAGATGCTTTTAGGAACCCTGTTTTTATAGGGTGAGCCAAGTGCGAGAGGTTGGCTCACCCCTGGGTCGTACAGCTAACAGGTGGCAGAGTTGGGGTTGGGACACAGTCAGTCTGGCGAGACTCAGCAGTGTGCAATGCTGCCTGTCTCCATCAATAGCAGTTTCCCGGCAAAATTTCCTGGAAAGACAGTGCCCTTCTGTGGCCCACCAGAGGCCCCAGGTGGGGCAAAAACGCTGAGTATCCCAGGGTAGGAGTCCCCAGCCTGTGGACAAACAGAGCTTAAGGACCACTGGTGGGGACTGGCAGCCGAGGAAAGGCATTGGGGAGGAGGCAGGTTGGGCTCATGCCTCACCCAGGCTGGGATGGAGGAACTGACGGAGTACTGCTCTGCACCCAGCAGACTGTGGTCCCAGCAGTTTCAGTAATGCCAGGTCCCTCGTGCACTGACAGCCGAACCAGGTGCCATTGCTGAGGCAACGAGTTGTTTGGTCGTCTGGGCTGTCCTGGTGGCTGAGGGCGTGCTCCCACTGAAGGTCTGTTGGGCTGTCCTGCAACAACAAAGGCCTGGGACTGCTGGCTCTGGGGCTGCAGACACAGTTGTGTGGCCTGGGGCTGGGTTTGTTGCCTCTTCAGGCTTAGCCACGTAGAACCATAATAGGTAACGTTGCTATAGCACTTACCATATGCCAGGCACTGTTCTGGGGACATCATCCAGACCATAACCCCAGGGGGCAGGTGTCATCATTATCCTCATTTTGAAGATGGGGACTAGGCACCAAGTTCCAGGAACTTCCCAGGTTACACGGGCTAGTGCCAATTGCTGGTCTTGACTTTCTTGCTGAGCCTTTGGAAAGAGCTCCAAAGGAAGATGGAGAGACTCCTCTGTTAAACCCTTTTCTGTGTCCTTCTTGGGGGAGTTCCTGAATGTCTAGATGGATTGAAAAAGAAAAATCACACCCCACTGAAAAGATCAATTGCACGTACGGCTTCCAAGTCGCTTTGACGTTGTCCACAAACTTCTCATATGCTTGAGCCTCTAATTAGATTTGGAGTGAGAATCAATTCATGGTCATGAAATTTTAAAAGACAACGTTCTGTGGAATGGTACTTCCCATTATTCCAGCTTGATTGAAATTGTGGCTTTTTCAAGGGTGCTATTTATACTCTTAAGACAATGGAGCTTTCAAAGGATTCCGACTCTCAAGTCTTCATATGTGATTTCTAGGAAGTGGAAATTTTCAAATTTCATAATGAACGTGTCTTGTGGTCTTTCTTTCTTTCTTTCTTCTTTCTTTCTTTCTTTCTTTCTTTCTTTCTTTCTTTCTTTCTTCTTCTTTCTTTCTTCT